CTCCTCAGCAGGCTATCAGAGGACACGCAGATCATTAAAAACGCAGCAACAACCAATCTTTCAGAGGCACTTCGGGATCTAGCAACTGCTTTTATTGGTGTTGGCTTCATGTTTTCATCATCATGGAAATTGACATGTATATGATTTTTCTTGTTCAAGTAATTTTTATTAATACCATCTATCAAACAAGTGTAGCACTCATGGTAGCTTTTATTCTTCTTTAGTGCTAGCCTTGGCTGTAGTGCCAGTTATTTATGTCGGTGCACAAAAAGTTGGGCACTATCTCAAAGAACTTTCAAACACAATCCAAGCTGCAGCTGCAGTATCTGCCTCAATTGCTGAGGTTTGTGTTAAATTTATATGTATATGATTTTGTTATTTGTTGAGAATTTTTAAGTACCAAAAAAGGAAGAAAACAATGGTAAGGTCATTATCCATTATTTGACATTCTATTCTTCATGAGCTACTTTACTGTTTAGGAATCTTTTGGAGCCATTCGAACAGTTAGATCATTTGCTCAAGAAGGTTATGCAATATCAAATTACTCTGAAAAAGTTGATGAGACACTGAAGCTTGGCCTAAAACAAGCTGTAAGTTTCACACTGATAACCTCATACTCTTTCTCTCTCTCTCTCCCTCACATGCACACACACGTGCGTGCACCGCCATTCAGAAACTAAACTTGCATACTTTCTACTGTTTTCTTCTACAGAAAGTAGTTGGTCTATTCTTTGGAGGACTAAATGCTGCATTCATGTTGTCTGTTATAATAGTGGTGATTTATGGTGCCTACTTGACAATAATGGGATTTATGACTGGGGGTTCTCTTACGTCCTTCATCCTTTATAGTCTCACAGGTACCTCCTTAATGTTTGCAGCTTCCCCTATTTTAAAGTTTTGCTTAGTTTCTGTTCAATCTTTGGTCTCAATGAAGACACTTCAAATACCTGAAACTTAGTAGCAATTTGACAAAGATTTCTTACCTCTCTGTTAAAGTATGTTAAAGAAGCAATAACCTTTAAATGTGACAGATCTATATCCATAGTTATAGATCATAAAAAAAAAAGTCTGGTACAACAAACCTTGCTAAGAGGCTATTTTTGTTCAATGATTTTTATTTTCCATGGCTTCTCGTTCTACCTCTGATGGTTAAATCATTTCAACTGAAGATTGTTGGTTTGTGATAAATAATATTCTGAGCTTAACCTATTCCATATTTTATAAATGGACTGATTTCATGACTGAATCTTGTCACTAAAATTTTCACATAGCTGCATATCTCTCTGCTTGCAGTTGGATCCTCAGTTTCCTCCTTATCAGGATTATATACAACTGCCATGAAAGCTGCAGGGGCAAGTAGGAGGATTTTTCAGCTCTTAGATCATGTCTCAAGCATGCCAAAATCGGGAGACAAGTGCCCAGAGGGGTTAGTTATATCACAATATCTTTGAAAAGTCCATTAGTCTTATGCCACGAGAATGACAAAGTTGTGTAACAGTGTTGAAATCAAGCATATAATTTTGATTTTTGTCAAGACATTGATTGCTTCTAATCTGTGATGCTATATTGTCTATGGCAGAAATCCAGATGGAGAAGTAGAATTGAATGATGTCTGGTTTGCTTATCCTTCCCGACCAAGTCGTATGGTTCTCAAGGTAATTGTTTCTCTGTTACACAGAGTTTGAACATGTCACCATTTCAAACTAAAACTAATTCTCCTCTGCTAAACTAATCCCTCTTGTGCTTCAACTAAGAATGTACATTTATACCATGGTTATGGGTTTGGTTTAGTAGGTCCTTCCTTTTAGGATTTGTTGTGTGATAAAACTGAAGAAGATTAACTTTTAAACAAAGGGTAACGTAGAAAAAAGAATCTTTTATATTTAAGTTCTCCTATTTTATCTGCCTTCAATTATTAAGAATTTGAGATCTTACCAGTACATTAAGTGGCATTGCTCGACCTAAAGAATGATATTTTGTTTAACCCTACCTTCGAAGAATTGACTATAGTAAGAATTTTGCTTTTTGTGAGTTTAATTTTTGCATCAAAATCACGAAGGTAAGTCATGATTTCACAATTTTCTAACTTCATGATCTAATCTGATGACACCATTTGAATTGCAGGGAATAACATTAAAATTGAAGCCTGGTTCAAAAGTTGCCCTTGTCGGACCAAGTGGTGGTGGAAAAGTAACATTATCATCCCTTTCCCTCTTTACTTTTTCCATTTTCTCTGTTAAGATTATTTCAGCAGTTGATGTCATTTTCTCCAACCTGTACTAGTAAATGAATCTAAATTTCCAATCTGTTGCAGACGACAATAGCAAACTTAATTGAGAGGTTCTATGATCCTCTGAAGGGAAAGATTTTGTTAAATGGGGTTCCTCTACTGGAAATATCATATGAATATCTTCACAGAAAGGTAGTCCTTTTTTTTTCTGGTATCTCTCAAGTATCTGCATGGCCTTCATAAAAACTCTAGTCAAGTTCATAACAGAGAACAAACTACCATAATGCCATTTCAAAATCTGCAGTATCTAATAAAAGAAAAGGAAATCATTTTCATAGCTTATCATCACCATAAAACAATATTGGAACAAACTTACCTATTTTAATCCATGAGAGCTAGTCCTTTGCAATTTCCATCATAATTGACCCCTGGACCAGTCACCAAGGCACTTTGCTGATTTCAGCCTCTCCCCCCCCCCCCCCCCCCTAATATGAAAGCAATGCATTTGTTTATCATCAACCCTGCAACTTTTGTGGTCGTGAACTAGAATGAAATGAATAAAAGCATGACATAGCCTAAGCTTTCTATCAACTTTTCTAGATGGAAAGGAATTGTGTAAACGATTATTTAAAGTGTATCATTTCATCCTTTCAGATTCATGTTGTAGATACTATAATCCTCTGAATTCTTAATATGAATGCTTTAAATGTTTTTCTCCTTTTTGTTGCTCAATCACATTAGTTATGGTTTTCAATAAAATTTGATCATTTCAATGTCCTTAGATTTCTTAAACACCCTTACTCGTCTTTCTGGAATACAGGTAAGTATAGTCAGCCAGGAACCTGTTCTTTTCAATTGTTCTATAGAGGAGAACATTGCCTACGGTTTCAATGGAAAAGCCAGCAGTGCTGAAATCAAATCAGTAGCTGTGAGTTATGATCATATTCCTTCTCCTTTACCAATATCTATAAGCCATCTTGAGAGATTTCAGTTTTTCTATGCATGTATGCTGATAAATAAAGTAAAAAATGCTGCAGAAAATGGCTAATGCTCATGAATTCATAGAAAGTTTTTCTGAAAAGTATCAAACAATTGTTGGAGAACGTGGTTTGAGGCTCTCGGGAGGACAGAAACAAAGACTAGCAATTGCAAGAGCACTACTAATGAATCCAAAAGTTTTGCTGTTGGATGAGGCTACAAGTGCTCTGGATGCTGAGAGTGAATACCTTGTCCAGGTGAGACTGAAGTTGCTTATTAGCATTCAAGACAATTGGTTTTCATACAATCTGACTCTCAACTCTTTCTTTTTTAAGAACAAAGGAAGTATCAAAAGAAAAAAGTGAACCCTATCTCTCCTAGCTATTCTTTCTTCTTTTGCTCGCAATATTATTGTTTTTTGTCTTGTAGATATGTCTCCAACAAAGTGAGGTACTCTTAAATCCATTGGCTCCTTAACATTTTCAGAATTCTTTCAAACAAGAGATGTACTTAGTTGATTTTATCAGTAATGGCCATCCTTCAAAATAACATCCTAACTAATTTTCATGCGCTGGATAGGATGCTATGGATTCGTTGATGATGGGTAGGACTGTTCTGGTCATAGCACACAGGCTTTCAACAGTCCAAAGTGCAGATAGTGTAGCCGTCATATCCGATGGACAGATAGCCGAGAGTGGCACCCATGAAGAGCTTCTCAGCGAGGATGGTATCTACACAGCACTTGTTAGGAGGCAACTACAAGGATCAAACACCAAAAACTAGTTTCAAATGGTCAAAAGTCGTCACATTTATTCTTCAATAGAATTGGTTTGATATTACTACTTCTCAAATGTTACGGCAGTAAATGAAATATCACATTTATATTTCAGAGGATTTGGGCATATAATCTGAGATGAAGGGAGAAAAATGTCCACATTCTGCAGAATACATGTAAAACAAAGACTAGTTTAATGTGGCCATCCTGGATTCGTTGAAACAAATTATTGCATCACTGGATTCCGATGAAAATTTGATTTTTGAATTACTATATAATCTGAAACAAGTTCATCACCTAAAATTATTACTTCCAGGAAAAAAACTGGGGCGTAGGGCTAAGAATTGAGCTTTCCATGTGGCTACCGTTACTTGAATTTTATTTGAACTAGCTACACAAGATAAACACCGGACCACAACACCTTAGCAACCTAGAAAATATGATTCATGCTCACTCCCATTTGACCTTGCTTTTCATCTAAAGAAGCATTAAACATGATTAGATATCCTTCTTTTCTGTGTTTAATATTTAAAAATACAAAAGTCCTTTTATATGCTTGTTTATTTTATGCTTAAACTAACCTATTGCATGGTTGAAATCAGAATTTATCTCAATTGATTTATATAATCACTTTTAAAAAGTGACATTCAACAAATCTGAAATTCAAATCTCAATGTATGTAACTTCTTCTTTTATCCTCAAAGTGTAATTTCTTTTGTAAAAAATTAAAAAAAAAAAAAAAAAAACTATTGCATATTCAATTTCTATTTTTTAACTAGAAGAGTAAAATGAATTGTTTATATATATTTTTTTTCTTTTACATTGTTGATAAAGAAGCCTCATGAAACATGCCACAAACCAATAATGCACTAAAATAAAATACTAATGGTTACCTCTCAAATTTGGTTTATTTACAAATTGGCCCAATTCTTTGTTTATGAACCAATGAACATGAAGTCTCTAAAAAATGACTAAACAATTTCAACTTCCCATGGGAGGAAACAGAACTTGGATTGGATTTGGACCTCAAGCTCCATCTCTCATTCAGGCAGTTAAAGAGTCCCCCTTTTGTCCTAGGAAGTTTGTCTTCTTGTTCTCTTACATATTTATGCTAACATATATAAATGACCTTGTTTGGTTTTTGTATTACGTTTCAAAGGATTCTTTTAACATTCTTGTTAACTTTGTACCTTTTTGTTAATGTTCAATTATAAAACACCAGCATGTTTTGTATCAATAATTTCCAATGCATGAATATATGTAGTATCTTGAATTATGATACATAATGTCTTGCCCCTTCTTCCAATGCACGAACATTGATCTATATACATAGACATACATATTGTGTGCGTGTGTGTGCACCTTACCCATCCAGAAGGGCACCCCCACTTAAAAATATAATAATAATGAAAAAAATAAAGATCCATCCTGACAAAATTTGGCATGGGTAGGCTTGCGAACAAAATAGAATCAAGAATTGCACTGTAAAATTTTCGATTCATTTGGATCATGATCCAACGAAAACCATGGGAATCCTTGAGTACAAAGTAGTGCACACTCTCAATCTGATGTATTCTGGATAAACAAAGTCTTACAAACAAAATGGCTAACAAAAATAGCTATAAAAGAATAACTCTAACGAATTGCCATCCCTTGTGTCGCCTGTAAGCCTTCTTCAACAACCTTGTTTGCTTGAATGGTGTTGATTAGACTGGCAACATTACCCTGGTAAATGAGATAGACCGGGTCACTAGGAAATACAAACATGAGTAAAACCAAATGAAAGATGCATACTTTTGACACCATAATATTTTACTAAAACAAACTTTAATCAGATCTATATATCTGGTGAAAGGAATAGTAGTTAATTTTGTGCAAATATGATAGGCCAAAAAAACTTGCAAATATTTTCAACCAAGGCCAACAAAAAGGTGAACTTTCAAACAGATCAAAGGCTAAGTAAAATTAAATATATATATATATATATATATCCTTGCCAACTGCTATAGATATGGTACATATCCCAAAAAGAAAAGAAACTGGAGTAAACAAATAAAGCATCAATTGTGTGAAATTCTTTACCCTCCATGTTGCTAGTTTTGATCGAAGAGACTGCCATTGATGCTGTCCAAAAATGCGCTCAGTGCAGCGGCTGCATGTAAAATGAAGAGTTGAATTATAAAAAATAAAAATAAAAATAGGTATCTTCTAGATTAATCTGATGGACAAAAAAGCAATGAAATCAGACAAACTTGAATCACACATGCATCACACAGAGAGAAACAACAGCTTACCTCACAATCACAACCTGATTCATCTGATCCATTTTACAGTCAATTAACTTAGCAGTTATTGCCTTAACAACCCACAATTCTACCTCATCATCATTGATCTGCAATGGAGAATACATCAATAAAAAACCGAAATTATGCAGAAAATGTCATAAACAGGTAGCTAAGCAAGTTTACCCGTAGAGTATCCTTGATGAGGGCATATGGAATTTGTCCAGATTCATTAGAGCCAAGATCAACCAATGACATCAACCTCATCTTTGTTATACAATCTTCATGAACAAGACCTGAACAATGGAGAGTAATAATATTGAAATATATGAAAATTTAGAGGGACTTTAGCTCATGCGATAACCCATTGTAATAGGTAAATGAAAGACAAAGCATTACCATAACTTTTCATTAAAGTAGAATTTGCAGCCTGAAATTCCAGATAGGCATCCAACTGCTGAGTCAGAAAGATCTTCAGAAGCTGATAGACCAATGCATATTTAGCATCCTTCTCCAATTGCCCAACAGCAGGCATATCTAATAGATCACACTGAAAAATGACAACAAAAGTTAATCTCTGAGCAGCTAAACAAGAAGAATGCAGAAAACTAAACAATCATGAACATAGTCTGTTAGAATGTAAGAAACAAGACAAGCCAAATATTTAAAGAGCTCTAGTGGGAAACTGTAAACAAAAAGTTTAAAAGACAGAAAAGGGGGAGGCATTTGAAAAAGGAAAGAAGGAGAAGGAAAGAAAGGAGAACAGGGAAACTAGGAAAAAAGAAGTTCGAAGGAGCATGGAAATGGGTAGAATATAACAAGCTTAAAATGAAGAAACGTATAAATTCAAATCAGCTAGATCTGCAACATTAGTAAGATACAAAGATACCTGAAACATGTCTGGTGCCTTCACAAATTCTATAATTGTGAGCACAGCTTCCTCCTTGGCTTCACTCATGCTATATGAATCCTCACCAGAGAAAGTTGCCAAATACTTGGTCAAGAATTTGAAAGAATCCTTTGCTGAACTGGATTTGCAGAAAGCCACAAAGTTGAAATATATGTAAGAGTGCAACTAATATTAAAAACGGTATAATCACATAAAGCTAAGGGAAACTGAATTTATGCTTTGGCATTGCTGTATACCTTTTGTTTTCTTTCAGTACATTTGCAATGTTATGGAAGAGGTCCCTTTGATCCTTGACCCCAATATTCCACTCTTTCAAGAAACTATCAATCTTTTTGAAAGATGGTATAATATGTTCAGTAACTTTCCCATTCAATGCCAAATTTAAAGATCGCATGTATACAAAGAACCGGCTATCTGGTCCCTCCAACAAATTATAGAGATTAAACAAACTGGAAAGAGAAAATAAAAAAAAAAAAATGAGAGAGAGCCTTTAAAATTCCATAAGCTAGAATTCTGGATCATCATTGGACATTACATCTTTAAACGCATTGCAGGCTTGTCATTTGGTTGTTGAGTGATTTTTGTGGATATGAGTTTTGCCACCTCAAGTTCTTCAGCTGGATTTTCAAGCTTTGAGACAAGATTGCATATAACAGTGAAGATACACTCAAGATCTGAAGAAAGATAATCAAAGCAAATAGTTACTTGTAAAACTAGAACTTCAATGCAAATTTATTACTTCACAAGCAGAATTGTAGAAACCATATAACTAAGTCCAGGGTTTCATCAGAAAACTGAATGTTAATTGTATCAGCTCAATTCATTTTCAATTTTCCATTGTAACTCAAACAAAAATAAATAAATAAATAAAAGAAGTCAAAATGACAACTCAATCTGTCCTATCTACACTAATTACACAATTTATTCACAAGGAAAAAAATTCTGGTTTAAACAGCAATAGTTCAATTATTTTGTCACAAAAAAAGAGTTGCAGATAAATGCTATTTGTTATAGATTCATAATTTCAAAAGCATCTAAGAACTTGCCACTAAATATCATAATGTAATAAGGCACCATTTTGGCTTGTTGCTTTTGCTACTTGCTTCTCGCATCCTAAAAAGTTCAAGAAAAATCAAAAGCCAAATCCTAATTGATTAAAACGTGAACAAATGACAAAAACGATAAACCAATAAAATAATTTTTCCTAAAAATCAACCATTTATTCTCCAAAAAGCTCAATCTTTAATTCTTCCAAACATTGTTTGCTTTTATATCCAAACACGTATTTCGCGAATGCGACAACAAAGCAGTAGCTAAATCGGCTGCTAATCAATTAACACTAACTCCATCAAAGCGCGGATGAATTAAGAAAATTATATTTATCTCAATTCATAAATCTCCCAAATTATTCAAATGTAAATGAAAAGAAAGAAAAAACTTGTACCTTTATCGGAGACCTTGGAAAAGACTAAATCGGCAGAAGTAAGCATTAAAGAAGCCAAATCCAGCCATCTTCCCATCACCATACACTCTTGCGCTTCCATACAAAGCCTCGTCACTTGCGGCTCCGCAACCTTTTCACCATAATTAAACAAAAAATTAGTAAAAATTGAAATTTTCTGTTTCAGATTAGATTTTTGGAAAATAAATTGAGGTTACATCGGGACCAGCATCCGCCCAAGCGAGGTCGGCCGTGAATCGGACGACGGCGAGCGCAGGATCTTCTTCGGAGGTTGGAACGACGGTTGTCATTGTCGCTCTGAAGCTCTCTTTGGTTGCGGCTGCCGAGCGGAGAGAAAAAGACTGAAAAAGAAGGTGACAAACCCTAGTTTTTTGGATATTTGTAGTTTTATCTTTTCTATAATTGATTAACTTATTTCGGTTTTTTTTTTTTTTTTTTGCCTTAAGAAAAAAGGGAAATAAAAAATAAAAAATAATGTTTTTTTGACAAGTTTTTTTTTTTTTTTTCAAGTGAAAACAAAGAATAAAGCTAACATTGACGCTTTTTTTTTTTAAGTTAAGGATACACTAAAATATTTTTTAAAAAAATAGTATGAAACAGTTTTGGCTAAGCGCAAGGCAAGGCAAAGTTAGTTGAGATATTTAGATTACGCTACTTCATTCATAAAAGTACAGGATTTTTTTTTTTTTCTTTAAAGTAGAGCAACGTTGAAAAAAGAAAGGAAACGACTTAGCTCAAATTCAAACTCTAATATTTTTTTTAATTTTTTTTTTCACTAAACCAAAAAATAAAAGATTTATAAAAGTACAGGATTGACTTCGATATTAGTAGTTTTTTTCATAAATAATTTATAAATTTAAAATAAATTTTTTAAAACTTGTATTATACTCTAACCCTAAAATAAAATAATTTTTATTCATTAAAAATTATAAAATAATTTATATTCGATGAATTTTAACTCGTAATAATGTTTTAAATTAGTCTTTAATTGAAACGATGCTGAGTTTTTCTGTAAAAATTATTTAAGGGTGTTTTGCTTGACCCATTTTGATATATATAAATATATTTTTTTATTATTATTATTTAATATCTTAATTTATATTAAAAATAATATTAAATAAAAATTATTTAAATTAATTTTAAATTGAATCAAATAAAATGCAGATTATACATATATGCCACGAGTGAAACTTAAATATAAAAAAATAATAATTTAATATCAAATTAAAACGAAATCAAATAAAACTATTAAGCAATTAGATTGAATATAAACTCATTTGAATTTGCATAGTTATTATCTTAGGCTTCACTTAAAAATTTTTTTCAAAAAAAAAAAATTTGGACAAACACAAATAATGAAATCATTAAAACAACTTTTTTAGATCTTTTAGTTAAATCTATAGAATTTTCTTTTGATTTATGTTGTGACACAATGAAAATATGGTGGCTTTCCTATGCCATGAGAAAACTTATTCACTTTGGTTCACTTTGGTTTGCTATAAAAATGTTGGTTTTGCTATTCTATCTTACAATTTAAGAATGTTTTGTTTGGTAACTAGAAATTGATTATATGAAAGAAGATATTTTCCATGAAAAACGTTTTTCAAGAAAATCAAATATTATCTATTGTTTGGATGAAACTAAAAAAAAAAAAAATTATATTTAGATCACTTTATGAAAAATATTTTTCACCATGACACATCAAAATTTTTATAACTATTATTACTAATAGTTAAAGTTTCATTTTTCAACATTAAAAAATATTTATATCTAATTTTATATAATATAAGATCTTATATCCTATATGTAAAATTATAAAAAAAATTAAAATCATATCCATCCAAGAAAATATCGCGTACAAATCATCAATATAATAATATTATTCCTAAATAAAACTATTATATGTTCTCAATTAAGTTAGAGCCATGTCCATTGTAATTAAACAAAAAAATCCTACAACCACATCCATTTTTTCTAAACAAAACATCCTACAATTGTGTCCATTGTTCCTATACAAAAACATCCTCCTCTGTCAAGTTAGAATCATGTTTGTTAATATTTAAGGATATTTTACTTGTCAAATAAAAGTAATTACATAAATAAATTTTACGACATTACGTAAACAAGTTTTAATTGTTATCCTTACAACATTTTTTACCATGAATGCTTTTGCTTGCCTCTCATTCTCAACTAAATAATTAAAGGCAAAGGAAAGAGCTACCTCTTCAAACCCTTCCACCTTCATCACTTGCTCATAAAGATCAACAATAACAATTTGATCATTACTTGATTTTTTAATGATCACTAAACTTTTTTAAGTGATATCGAACACCACAATATGGATCAATAATTTCATTTCGGATGTCATATCCAACATCAGCAAGATAATATTTGCTTACAAATTTATAAAAAGTATATTATTACTAAATAGACTAATTATCAAAATAATGTAAATTACTAATCTTTTAGATCTCACTAATTTTTTGGAATTCTAAATCCTCTTGGCCTCGAAAGTATATAGGTAAATTTCAAGTTAAAAGTGATTACAATTAAAACATTTTGCATCATTCATCCTTTTCAATCACAAAATCTTACTTGAATCTCAATTGGCATAGATGCATTAATATGAGTGCCCTCTAATGATCCCACACAATCCTATTATTAATGTAGAATGGATTTTAAAAAATAAAATTTGTAAACTTTATCTAAAGTATATATGAAAAAAATTTTACTACTAAAATTGATCAATATCTCACAATATGGATAAAATCTGTTGTTATTCCTTATTTCAAATGGAGTCAAATTATCAGATATCCTAATCATATTTTTATATAATTTCAAAATTGTACCATCTTTATCTTCATCAAACTAACTTTATCTTCGTCATACTGAACTTTATTTTCATCATACTGAAAATGGATCAGAATCAATATCATATTTATCTTTGTCAAACTGAAATTGATCATAATCAATATCATATTTATCTTTATCTTTGTCAAATTGAACTTTAGCTTTATCATACTAAACTTTATCTTCGTCATACTAAAATAGATCAAAATCAACAATTTTAAAGTATCTAGGAATTGTCTTAATTGATCTAAAATATCTCGATCCAATTATCAGCAACCTTACATTATGACCAATTAGATATAACAATATAATCACTTGTTCCTCAATGACACATGTCTACTTGATTATACTAAATTATTTCTACAAGAATGTCATAAAATCTAAAAAATGCAATCAATCTCATCCTTATTTGGTCAAACAATAGTTATCACCTCTATGTAAAATACTTTCAATAGACATTTCCCTTTCTTCATCTCGATTGACATTAAGCTAAATTGGTATACAGATATTAGATCAATATTTTTCAATGAAAAAAAAAAATCAAAAGCTAACACTGAAACATCTGCACCCATAACTACTGCACTAAATTTTGTCCATCTACAAAGAAATAATTATAATAATATTCAATTTCTATTATATTATGAGAACTAATTTTGGTAAATTTAAAGAAAATACAAGAGTTCCAATTTTATAACAAAATTGAGCTCAAAAGATAAAATACAATACATAATTACAGACAAATAAAACAAAGGCATGCAAGACAAAAATAAGCAAAGCTCAAGGATTTTCATGCAACACCATTTTTGTGTAACACAAGAACAAGCAAAGCTCATCATATATAATAAATACTTAGATATACATATAATAAAAACTCACCCATTTTATTGCGTATTTTACGCTAAATGGATCTCATATGTTATAAGCCATCAATGACAAAGAATCTGATAAGAAACCTGATACTCAAATGAATGGAAAAATAATCAATTTCATGGATGAACAAAGACAAACTCAAAAAAAAAAAAAAAAAAAACAATTATAAACAGATTTTAAAATAATAAGTATTGCAACAAAGTTCAAAGATTCAAAATTAGGAAAAAAAAATTATAAAAATTGAAGGATCAAAAAATCAAACCTTTCAAAGAGAGATGATAATTGATGCTGAAGATGAAATTGACCCATGAAATTGAAAAGCAAAAAGGTGATTCGTAGTTAAGGCAGAACCTGGTGCTAGAACAAAAGTGCTTTACCCACAAAACAAATAGAAGATATGTGCAACAACAAAAGAAGAGGAAAGAAAAAATAAAAAAATAAAAAATGAAAAATCAAGGGAGATTGATGAGTTTTGAAGGTAGCGGGAGATGGAGAATGGGTTAGGTTAGGGTTTGAGAGAGATTATTGGTAAAATTTAGAGATAGTGAGTGATGGAAATTGTATTTTTTTTTAAAAAAAAAAAGATAATTTTTGTGTCTTGTGGTTTAATTTTTTGTTGATCCAAAAATAATTTCTGTTGACCATTTTTTTTTGCCTTTTCAGACATTGAAAAATACTAAATATGATTCCAAATTCAATTTTCCTTATTACCAAACGGAGCCAAGTCTTAAATTGAATTATTGATTCATTGACCTAATAATTTCTCTTGCTTAATTTTTAATCCAAGCTTCTAAAATTCTTCATAACCACAAAAAATAACATTATTTGATCAAAGACACTAAGAGTTTGTTTGGTAGGGTGAAAATATGAAAAAAAAAAAATGGAAGAGAAGAAAAGTAGAAAGATGGAAAATATAAAATTTTTCATTGGTGTGCTTGGTTAGAAAGAAAAGTTTATTATTTAGTAGAATTGAAAAATAAAAGGAAAGAAAGTAAAATTTACATGATTTTACCATTATAACTTTTTATAAATTAAGATGAAAAAAAAAAATTTAATGTGATGATTAATTTTGTAAATATGTAAAATATGCTCACACCTCTATCATCAATCTTCTTATCTTGGTTTAAGTGTCATCATCTTTCAATTTATCTTTGAGCTTTCAAAGACACATTTTGATGCTAAAATTTATTAAAATTTATCATACAAAATGACAGTAGCAATCAACATGTAAATCATACAAAATATAGAATAAATCAATTCATCAAGCAACTGCTTTTGATGAAAAAGATTCATAACTATTATCCAACAACAACAACTCCCACCAAGGCAATACTTCTAAATTAAATCAAATTGCACTCAAGATCAAGTCCATTTCAGGATGTTTGAATACTAATTTTTCTGAGTTATGAAATTAAATCAAATTGCACTCGACAGCTTATCCATCTCCGTGCAGTTAGGAATTAGTTTCCGCCACTGCCACCGCCACCAAAGAGGTAACCCAGAGAAGATCCGCCACCAGGGGCAGCATGGACCTTAGTAGATGGTCGGTCCTGAACCATGAATAGAATGCATTAAAAATAAAAACAATAATAAAGAAAAACAAAACAAAGACAGTTTAACTTGCCATTATAGTCACCCTACTGAGATACCCAAGACAACTTTAATTACAGGTTTGGGAGGGAAAAAGAGGGATAAACGCCCCAAGATTTGAAGGGATTCTACCTTATTGATGCTACGGTAGTACTTTAGCAAGGTTGCCAACCATGGAAATGGGTGCATTTGCCATTCATTAGATAGTGAAAAGGATGAAATTGATGACAAGCATTGGTCACAACAGTTCGGTCTATAGATAAATGCTACCAAGGGGAATTGAGAAGCATGAATGATCAATAAGCATTGCTTCAATTTTGAGCCTAAGGCACCAGACAAGAATGCTTCTGAGTTTGAGGAAAGAAATTTGAGTCAAGCTGCAGGATTAAAGCCACACCATCCACAAAATGGCAGAAAGATTTCCAATAGAAACATATCAAAATTTTTGAAACAAGCACTAGTGTCATTGTGATGATCAAAGCTGTTAAGTGAAGTGCAGTAAACAAAAAATGAAACAAAGGTGAAAGTATTTTTGTTAGTCCCCCAAATTGAGTTCCTATATCAATTCACTTGGAATACAACCCTTGGTGCCTTTTGAGTGTGTTGCTCAGCTACTAAAGATAAAACCTGAGAGAGGGTTTCTCATCTGATCCCTGTTCTTTAACCAATCTAACAGGCGTCAGGCTTCATCCAATGTGGTTATATTATATTTACTGACAAAATTACCTACAAGCAACATGACCAAGATCATACCGTGATGAAGTTACCACAGTTTTGCCCATCTGCTCTGAAGTAATTGTTAGTAAGATTTCCATGAATGCCTGCTGGAATCTGCTTATCAACTGCCGGAGAAGATGATGCAGGCTTCTGAGAAGGCTGATTGTGCGTGGCTTGCTCCTGGTTTGGAGTACCTTGGGTACCATTGCCACTCTCTCCATTTCCAAATAAGTAGCCTAAAGAACTCTGTCCACCACCTGCACTGACTCCACGACCCATTTTTCCCATAGTTCTTTCTTTTAGTAAGCAAATCTACAACCCGCACAGAACTGCAAGTATAACCACAATTAACCTTCAACATGCAGTGGTGGTACAAGAATTAAAGATGGAAAAGCTACTCAAGGAAAAACTAGACACAACGGCACTTGCATGGTCAAACTCGCAAAAGAACCACACACAAGCATAAAGATCCAAATTCAAAATTCTGTAACAGGGAAGCAGTATCAACTACCAATATCAAATAAGCAACCTCTTTGCTTCATTAATTTCATTACCTCAACTTCTCTTCGAGTTTACTACTTCGGCCTACAATCTCAAATTAGTACCATGAAGACACAAGTTTTATGCATTTCCAATTATTTACATGCTACTTTTGCTACCATGGCATTCAACCAATTGCTGAAGCTGAAGATTTTCTTTCTCAAGAAAAGAAAAAAAAGAGCAAAAACCCTCGGATTCCACTAAATTCCAATAGGAAACATCTAAAAATGCCACTAAATTTAGCTGCAGAGAACTCAAATCCATTCTATCTCCTGCAGAGAACTTAAATCCATTCTATCTTTTGCCAATTTCCAAGCAATGCAGATGCATACATGCTCACGAAGTCTAAATTTTTACAAATCCACAATTCTGTTCTTCAGCTTCTCATTGCCTAATGCAACAAACTCTTAAACCCATTTCAACTCAAGCCAAAACATAAGCATCATTCATCAATCAAACCCATGTAAAAGGCTACATTATTCCTATCAAATTCCAAACATTGTACATTCCTCATCTCCCCTTTCAAAACCCAACAAATCAAAACAACAGTACAATTCCAAGAAATCCCTAGTCCAAATCAACAAACCAAAATAAAACAATCTCAGATCTGTTAAAACATGCAAGAACGAATAATAAAACTCTAACAAAACAAGGATCTTAAATGACTTGTTTTGTTAATGAACTTACCTCTTTCCTTTTTTGAAGCAAAAGCTTCAAGATGCTAACAAGACTTATAGGAGAAAAGTTTTTAAAATTAAAGACATTTTTATTTAATTTTTTAATAGTAATAATCTCAATGTTTTTGAAATTTAAAATTTGACTTTGACGATGTTAATGTTGCCGTGTGAGCTGGCTTTTGTTGTTGCTTTGTTTTTCATTTTGTTAAGTGGTCCGTCTGCATCCGTCTGTCAACGTCATTATTATAACCACAATTGTGGCAGGTGCATGAATGAATGGAGTGGGAGAAAATAAGAGAAACAAAATGAATTTTTTACTTCAATTCAAATTTTAATTTAATTATTTTATATAATTATTTTTAAAAATAATATTTTATTAGTTTAAAATTCAAAATTTTTCATCCAAAATGTATTTTTTATTCTTAAATTACGATTTTATTTTAAAAAAACTTATTTAAATGATTGTAAGGTTAGTTGAATTTAGACAGCAAGAAATATTGAATTTTTTGTCAGAAGTAATTTGGTAACATTCAATAAGTTAAAAATTTGTTTAGCTTGATCGATGTTTGTTGATATGAATCATAAAAAATTTAATATTTTTTAAATAAAATTTTTATTTTGAGTTTTATAAATAAAAAAATAAATTTTAAAAAAATTTATCTTTTTTATAAGATTCAATTCGTTTTAATTTTATATTAATCAAAATTTAAAATAATTATTGGATATCAAAATTTTTAAATAAAAAAAAAATTTACTTGCTTGAGGCAAGAGCAAAGAATAAAAAAAGCATTATCATTTTAAATGTAAAAAAGTTCATGGTTATAAATTCATGTGTCATGAACTTAAGAAAGAATTATGAATCTCATATCGAATATAAAAAAAAGATTATTGGGATATAAAAAGATTCACACCATCTTTTCTTGTGAAATATTTTTTGTAAGATAAATCTCGACTCGTGACATATGTACGTGTATATACATGAAATTAATAGAAATTTAATAAGTTTAAATAATAAAAAAATTTTCAATTAATTATTTTATTTAAATAAATTTTTATATTTTTATTATATTAAAATAAATCATTAATTTTTAATTTAAATGCAAATAAATTCTTAGATTTTAATTTGTATTTAAATAAATTATTATTTTTATTTGCATATAAATAAAATTTTAATACAAATTAATTTTCATTAAAAAAAGTTATTTAAATATAACTAAAAAATAAAAATTTATTTAAATACAATGAGAATATAAAAGGTTTATTTTAAAAGTCAAATAATTTAAAAGTTTTTTTTTAAACGTATTTCAGCCATTTTAATAGTTCCTGCTGTTAAATGACTCCACCGACAGCTGCGTTTGGCCTTACATTAATTCATCAAACCACTTTTCAAGTTTAAGTTTCCACAAGTGCTTGTAAGAATCACCAACCGACATCCTTAGTTAATTCAAATTTAATTCTTATCTTAATTAGGAATTTAACACAATTGATTTATTTATTTATTTTTAAAAATTAAATTATAACTCATACGATATATAAAATAATTTTATTTATTTAATATAAATATATATAAATTAGTTTTCTTAAAATTATATTTAAATTTTTAAAATCCATAACATATATATAATTTATATATATTAACTTATCATTAAAAAATAAAATTTCTGTAAATAAAAAAATTATATATTTCCTTTGCATAGTTCTGTTTACAATAATATTTATACACTTTTAAAATTATATCAAAATAGAAATAAATTATATCTTTTTTAAAAGAATAAAAATATATTATTGAATGATAAATTAAATAATAAAAAAAGTATTAATATATTTTTACTTTAATAAATTTGACTAAATTATTATATAAAATATGAAAAATATTAAAAACTATTAAAAAAAAGAAAAATTAAATTTAAAAAACTATTATTTTTAAACTTTAATAACAATAAAATATATCTTTAAAAATTTATAAATAAAAAAAAATAAATTGCAATAATAATAAAATATGCCTTGAAAACAAGGAACGACTTAATTCCTAGTCCCTACAATATAGGGAGGATTTGTTTCCCCATAAAATATATCTTGATAAAAAATTATAAGCAAAAGACTTAATTCCTAGTCCCTACAATATGAGGAGGATTTGTTTCCCCATAAAAACAAGGAACGACTGTCTGACTAATGAGGTTTTGGCCGGGGAGGGGGGGGGGGGGGGGGGGGGGTGGGTTGTGAGAGATGAACTTTGTGGTTTGTGTTTGCAAACAGTTGGCATGATGAAGATGTAACATTGCTACCAACCATACTGTTATGGCAGACACCAATCTTCTGGCTTTTAACATTTGTGTCTGGCTGTTTTTGCAAAGGGGATTGTAAACAAGTGTTTAAGAGGCTCACAAGGTAACCAAACAAAAAATACAAAAGTGATGTGCAATTGTGGTTGTGGATGAAAACTAGTGGAATTTTCAACCATTTTCTTGCCCTTTCTCTTCATCAAATGAAAGTTCTGTTCTCTCATTGTGGGGAAAGATTTGTGGCCAAATTTGACTACCTGCCTGTGTAAGATCATAGTTACTCCTAAAATCATTGTGCTAACACTAAATATACCAAGGCCCCGTTTGGTATCATAGCACCGTGCAGTTGGAGAGCGTCCAGCAACTTTTGACCACCGAATGAGGCTCTGGTACAGTGAGTTGCTATTCCCACCACATCGTGCCAACCCATTCATGCTGGCATCCATGCTACCAAACGGGGCCTCGTAGAATCATGCCTTAGAGGATGCATATCATCCACACATGTTTTGTCCGGTCGGTTTCTCCGAAGGGAGGCTTGTCAGAAGCAGAACATCAGTGACTACAAGCCATCATAAATCCTCAACCCTTTAGTTCAGCAATTCAACAAGCTCATAACTCAGATGCATCATGTTACAAGAGAAATTGATTCAACAACCACATTAACAAAACAAGCATCCTTGTATGCACCAAGCCTTGGGAAAAACAGCCTCTTATTGCTTTTTGTGCAACCCTGAAGTGTGAATCTATCACTAGCATAAATATGAACATCTCTTGAAAGGAAAACCAGAAACAAAAAAGGACCGAGGAAAAAGATATCAAAATATCCTGTAATCTAATAGAAAATGTCTAAGCTATCTAGCAGTTGAGCATTGTAAACCACTTTCGCTCGTATGTGCATGTGCACGTTCATGCAAATTCCAAGGAATAACTTCCCCATACCACATCAAATGAAGCCCCAAATGGGACTTTCATAAACAATCTAGCAATTAGATTCTCTCATGGTGAAGGGATTTCAGAGATCTCTACCAATATTTTGTGTAAGGCTTGAGGCTTAGAGAAAAACGGTGAGTGGTCAGCACCTTTTAGATGGAATACTTTTTCTGGTGGGCTTGAGTTAATCATGCTTTCCTGAAGCACCATAGGTATGGCATTATCTTCAGGAGTTTCTATGTAAAAACGCCTCACAGATCTGTATTTCATGTCAGAGAGGGAAAGCTTCTCCAAAACTGGTGCAAAAGGAATTGGCCTCATTGAAACAGATGCTAACGCAACATCCTGGATCAGGGAAAGTGAAATAAAATCAGTGATAGTGAGAATAAGAAAAAGAACAATATGTTGCACATGACCAGAGATGCATTACAGACACATACGAAAGAGAGTAAGTCTAATTTGTACAATAAAGAATCAAAAGACTAAGTTAATTTATCAGAAAGCTTTTTAGACAATGAAGTTGGAAAGGTTAACTACGAAGGCTACAAAGTATAGCTGGTAGCATCCAGATACACAAACCCTACTACAGATCCATGTTTTAGTTCTGCACCATAAAATGGGCTTGTAGAACATCTTGGGGTGGCTACTTTGACAAGCAAGAAGTAGCAACATTAGCAGTTATTACAAGTAATACTTAAATAAAATCCACTTGATGAATCATTTACTTTTTAAGTGGCACCAACAGATGACCTTCTTAACTCTTAATCTGTTATTTCAAATGGATTTACTCTTCTCCAATCCACTGGAGGGTCTAGTCTATTACATTAAAATGCTATGTCAAAATAAATGGTTGTGGATTGATGTGCCAAAAAAGAATTAAACAGCATCCCCGATGCCCTACAGAGAATCTAAATTCATTTAAAAATATCAGCAATTTACATCTTATCACTAATATTTTTATAATAAAAGTTGCTTTGCAACGAATCTTCAATGAATCTTTAAAGTGAAAGCAGATAACCAGCTTAACTAGTCATTCCATATTCTCTGGAGATGACAAGCTACTAATTACATAATGCTTACACAGCTATTTAAATATGAAATCTTATGTGCATTCACACAGGGAGGCATGTGGTAATGCAAATGCATGCACATTGTTGCCTGTTGTTGCCTGCCAACATGCAAAAATATCTAACAAGTATGCCGAAAGATCTTGTTATATGACATATAACTCAATTAATTAAGAAAAAAAAGCCATTAATCACGAGTTCAAATGTACCTTGGAAGGACTTTGATTGAATAACAAATCCCGCAATAAAGACTTGTCTAGATCAATAGCAGTTGGAGGTTGGTCATTTCCATTAGCATACAAAAATATCTGAGCCTGTCGCATAAGATCATTAGAACCTGCCTGCAACAGTTTTTTAGCATTAGTTACATAAAGCCATAAAGTTCAAATAATTAGATTAAATGTTTATAGAAAGCATTAACAAGTACCATCCAGGATTCGGGTAATGCATTAACAGGTTCTATCCAGGAAGCAATGCCTAGAACTAAATGCAACTTGGTGCTCAAGTAAAATCCTTTCTCTTGAATAAAGAAAAATGGAATTTAGAGTCAAAGTTGAACTTCAAAGCAAGTTCAGATCTTTTTCCACAATAAGTTGGTTAATAATTATTCGACATACACAAGAAAAGGTTTCTGCAATCCAAATAAATCTTATAGGAAGTTAGATAAGCAAGCAAAGTAAGCCACGCTTCCTTCACAATTAGAGATACTAGGCAGATGCATATGGTGAAACAAGATGTTAATGCAAAAGGTGCATGCAAATCAGTTAAGTACAGTAAAAATGCTAACGAGCAATTTGACTTCCGAACTACAGACGCTTGACACAGAGAATCTCTAAAAGTTCATTTTTTGAGTTCAACATAATTAACAGGCTTCTGCAGATAACAATTTTTGGAAATCAAATAATGATTCAACCAATGCAAACCTGCTGGGCAAAAATGTCAAGTGTACTTTGTCCATTTGTCAACATTGCAGCGGCCACAAAAACAGCCTTTGTGACTTTCAAAGGAAACAACTCCATCACATATGATACACATGCACCACCAAAATCATGTCCCACCAAGATCACCTGCATAGTTTCAAGGCTATGAGCAATGTGGCTTCGTTATTGATCTCTTAAATATCTTGAAAGTTTCCAATGACAGTGTGAACACAAATTTGTAAAGAATGTGTCACAAAGCTTGGTAGCAGAAAAATGCAAGCACCAATATAATACTTTAGCAACTGATATAAAATAAAATTTAATACACCCCAATCCATAAAGGATTATATTAACTATTTTAGAACCTCCCAATGTCTAAAGCTAGGTATTGATAAGGACACATATTGAATTAATTAACAAGCTTGAAATTTAATTTCCATTACAGAAAGTCTATTCTGACCAACAATCAAGCTGAAAAGGGAGCAGGAAGCATAAGTACATAAATTAATACAATGAAAGAAAGAATGAAATAGAAAAGAACCTTCTCGCCTTCGGGAAGTTTTTCAAGAAAATCAGTTAGTGGCTTCACATATTGTGAGAGACTGGTAATGCCATTTGTGTCGAATGAATGAATGCCAGAACCTGTTAGATCAACCGCAGTAGCTTTGAAACCACCTTCCTCTAGGAGTGCAATTGTTTTATACCAACACCAAGCACCAAAGCCTCCCCAATGGACAAGAACAAAATGATTTGTTTCCAAGTTATTGAGCTTTACGTCCTGTCAAAGATAAAAAATGAGCAAAACCATAAGGGACATTCAAAAGGATTAGAGTACACCTAACCAAGCAAAGTTACTACAATAGAATTTACAAATTCACTTGAAATGGCAACCAAGAACAGCCAATTAAATAGAACCTGTAACTATGCTGTCTTCTAGGCAAACTATTGACAGATTGGTAGAATTTAGAACCATAAATATAATTACAACAAAAGAAATTGGTTGTAGTGCTAACTAATAGACTATAGTGCAAAAATAACACTATAAGATGGTCAAATAATTTTGTCCAGAAATTTTCTTGATATAATTCTATCTTATCCACCTGATTCGGAATTTAACAAATTTTCCCTTAAACGGTCAGTTCAGGGACTTAGCACCATTATAACTACACAGTATTAGCATTCTTACAATCAACAAAAGAATCATTAATTTTTATTCTTAACTCACTCTAGCAGCAATACAAACTGGAAAAAAGAGCATCAATAGTAGTTGTGTCATTGAGATTCCATTCTTATCATTAATAACCAAAAATAAATAAATAAATAAATGAGCAGTGTTCATCTAAGTAGACCAGAAACATCCTTAATAAACAGAATCTCAAGACTATTATATTCAGTTTGTCACTGCTGAGATAATTCAATATATGGCACAAAAAAATTCCACCGCATATCGTGCAACTGAAGCTTATTGCCGTGATGCAAAAAAACCTTCAATGTCCATCAAAATGTGAGACAAAAAATTGAACAAAGAATCTCCTAAAAAGACATCTGCAAATTGACAATCTTTTGCTAAATACATTCCTTGCCATCACTAGCCACCATGAAATTAGGTGGAGTTTCCATGGTTTTTACACAAGATTTAGAATTTCATACACTTGTGCACAAAAAGGGTTCTGAAGGCATATATGAACAAGAGAATTACAAAATAAATAAAGAACCAATAGCAAACCTCAGAAAAGAAAAATCTTTTAAACATGCAAGGTTTAACAGGGGAGTCTACTAATATAAACTTCCATAATTAAATTTATAAAACTTCCATAATTAAATTAAGTTCTCAAATTGCTAACTCATTTTAACAAAACTATCATGATATAAAAACTCCATTTTCCTCGAATAACCAAAGACAAGATAAAAAAAATACAAAAAAATTTATATTACCAAAATTAACAGCCACCCACAATTATAAACATGACACATGACACAAAAACGATACGAATAAAAACATAAAAAAGCAACAAGGATTAAAATTTTAATAAAATCTATATATGGGTTTGGAAAAACTAAAAAATTTATTTGTGTTTAGCATGTGTACATGTATTTGATATTGCAATTTTTGTGTTGTACATATGTTTAACAAGAAATAGATACAATGAATACACAAATGGCCAGGTGTAACCAAGAGAATAAAATAAACAAATTTCACAAAAATTTTAATACTTTAACCAATAAAAAAATAAAGTCCATAATTAATCATACTTCCCATATTTAACAGTTATAAATTTATAAAAAAACTGAAAATTTAAACCCTGAACCCAAGTAAAAAGTAACCTACTTTACCAATGATGAACCCCTACCCACCAAAAAGAACTTCTACCCAATAAATTAGCTAAAGAAAGCCACCAAAATCACCATTCAAAAGAAAAAAAAAAGAAAAGATTTACACAAACCTGATTAACAAGCTGATGAGGTTGCAAAAGCGGGTCAGTAAGGGACCTAGCTCTGGAACTGGAACTCCGAGGCAACTGACCCGCTTTCTTAGACCCAGAACAAGAATTCGGGTACCTCAACGAAGTCGACCTGTCAAACGGCAATGAAACCCCCCCGTTTTGCTGTTGGTGTTGCCTGAACAGGATCGCAGCTGCTAAAGCCTGCTCTTGAAGCAGAGCATCATCAAGCTTGTCTTTCCTGGACGATCGGACCCTGGCCCACCGGTTGCTGGAGTTGGGTCCGTTTTGTTGGTTCTGCAACCGTTTTGTGACGGGTCGTTTCTTCACCGTTTTACGTGCAAAGCAGTTGCCCATTTCGTTCACTGCATGAAGAGGGAAAAAAAATAGAAAGAAATAAAGGAAAAGAGAGAGTTTTTATAAGTTTCTATGTACGTATTTTACACGTATAAAATACAGTTTTCATTTACGTAGAGATTTAAGGAAAGGGCAGAGGAGGGCAAAGGGAGGCAGAGAGCGGGTCACCGACGGCTGTTTGATGATTGGAGTCGAGGGGACGGAGGTTTTATAAGAGTGTTTGACAAAAATATATTAATCAAAAAGCACGTTCACAGCCTTTTTATTAAAATTTTTTTTTTAAAAAAAAATCAAATCTATCCGTTTGATTGGCCTTTTTTTTTTTTTTTCTCTCTTACTTATTCTCGCCTTTAAATTACTAATTCATATATTAAATGAGAATTTTTTTATATAATAAACAGTCAAATTTTTAAATTTTAATTTAAAATTTCAAAAAAAAGTGTATAAAATAATAATTCATTCAATGATTTTTTTTAAAATAAATTCATTAATGATTAGTAACAGGAAGAAGATGATAAGTTATTGATAATTTACGATGCATAATTACATGATAAAGAATTTTATGGGTCTTTTTTTTTTATAAGAATTTAAGGGTAGTTTGTGTAATGATTATTTTATTATTTTTATTAAAGATATTTGTGGATGGTTAACTGATATTTATTTGAGCAATAATTGATGTAATTCAAAACTATATATTTCTCTTGTTTGAATTGCAAATTATTTGTAACCAAAAGGGAGGGTAAGTGATATTAAAAAAAAGCAACATTACTTTAATTTTTTTATAAGAAAATATCGTAATATGAAAATAATAAAAAATTTAAAATTTAAATTTATTAAATATTATTTTTTAAAAATAATTAAATAAATTGAATTGACAACTTTTCTTCATTCATTTTCCAAATAATTCCCAGCAAAGGATTGCATGAAATTATAAGGGCAAAAAAATAAATTATAGAATTCTACAAGTTCCTTTATTTATTTATTAAATTAATTAAATTAATTTTTATTCCATGAGAGTTCTACAAGTATTAAATTTGTTTGGTCGAGCATAGTTTTGCATTCTAAGGATTTGAAAATTTATTAAGGAGCACACCTTTACAGGGAAAAAAATTTTAGGTGAAATTTATAAAAAATTTTTATTAAAAATGAATAAATCAAAATTAAAATCAAAAATCAAAATTGATAAATCAATAAATTTTATTATATAAATCAAATATGTAAATTTTTAAAATATAATAAATTATGATATATTTAATAAATAAATATTTTTAACAAAAATATTGATAAAATTTTTATTATTAAAGAAGTATCGATTAAAGTTAAATTATAAAAAATATTTTTAATAATTTTTTTATATATTATTAATTTTTATATTAAATTTTATCAATTTATCAATTTAAATTTTTTATTAAAATTTTTATTTACTCATTTTTAATATAAAAACTTCATAAATTTTACCTATAAACTTCATATAAGTTTTATTCCCTTTATGGTGATAGAGAATTAATGAACTTTGTTGACTTTATTCTATGTCCTATTTCATGTAAGGGAAGATATTGTCAAGCCTAACCCTACATGAGCTAATTCTACTAAATTGCCTAACCCTACCTTTGTTTGCATAAGTAAAACAACAAAAAAAAAACCTAACTTTGTTCCACCAATTCTTATATATATATATATATATATATATAAGTAAGTATTCACTTATATTAATATAATTATTTTTAAAAATTTTTAAATCAAAATTAAATTCATGACTCATTTGAATCAAAATAATGTTTTTAAAATTAATAATTTTGATTTAAATTTTTTTAAAAAATAAAAGTTATATTAGTGTAGATAAATCCCTGCTACTATTAAAATATATTAGATATCCATTTACACCGGTCTAAGTGTCACATTTTTTTACACTTGGGTAAAAAAAATTTAACCATATAAATTTTTATAAATTCCTTAGATTTGATATAAAAAAGTTGATTGGATTAAGAACCTGTCATTGTTCAATAAAAAAAATCAATAGTTTTCATTTTAATAAATATATGAATTAAATTTGTTAATTTATGTATTTATATCATATAAAATATTGATAATTTATGTATTTATGTTATATTTTATATGAAAATTATAAATCATAATTTGAGTGTACACAAAAAATATAAAATATTTTTTATTTTTATTAAACTCTTATATGATTTTTATTAAAATTTTAATAGTATCATTTTATATTTTTTTATTAAATTATTATATTATATTTTAAATTATCAAATATTATCTCCATTTTTTTAAGTTATATATCCTGAATTTTTGTTCCTCCACAACTACAAACGCATATCATGTTTTTCTAATAACGTGACCTTTTTTTTTTTCATGGTTATGACATTCCATGAACCTTTAATTTTAGAACTTGAAATTTAACTTAAATAATTAATTTTTTAGGAATTAAATTTCAACAAAGTTGATTTTCGATTCTTAACTTTTACAGATTTTTCTTTCTTAATTTCTCTTAAGCCATGATTTAACAATCACATTTTCTTGTTTAAAAAAAAAAATCCACATTTTCATAACTACAAAATTTTGATAAAGACTCGGCGTTACTAATTTCAGCTAATGTTAACATCGAAAAGAACAAAGTTTCTTTCCACAATTAATCGAAGTGTCCAAATCATCTAGAGGCGCTTTTTTCTGGTCCAGCGAACCACTTTTCCGTCCCCCCAAACAGAAAGTGACGCCATTCAAATCCTTCTTTTTTATTTAAAATAAAATAAAATATATAATATAGAGATAAATAATAAATAATTATAAAAATTAAAATATATTTATAATTTATTTTTATAATTACAATAATATTATTATAATTTAATATGATTAAATTAAAATATGAGCACATGATAATTTATCTTATTTATAAGCACAAATAGACTTTATATAGGATTTATCTAATTTACAGAGGATGGTTCGGTGTATTGTAGTCCATCTTAAAACGAATGAAAATTTGACGTGACATGTTTTGGTTGGAGGGAGTAAAAATAAGTTTTAGAGGCAGTCTTAATTGAATTTTTAACTCATAAAAATGCGGAAATAAATCAAAGTTAATTTTTTTAATGAGATTATAAGTACAATTATAATAAAATATTATTTGTAAATAAAACTTCAATTAAATTAGAAAATTTTAGTACTGAAATATAATTAAATAAATTTAATATAAAATTGACTTAAATTTATATATAATGAGATTTAGATTTAAATTTAAAATTTTAAAATAATTTAAGTTTATTATTTGAATTTTGTCTTTACATGATTTAAATTGTCTCAATTATATATATATATATATATATATATAAATCAAAAGTATAATACTCATTGCCATTGCATAATTTTTTTTTTCATAAAATTTGGTAATCATCAAAAAAAGAAAAAGAAAAAAAATGAAAAACAATTGATCAAACTACAAATAACAAAGCCTAGAATTCAACAAATGATTTGTCTAAATCCTGGATTAGAATTCTATGTTTGTTGGACTTTTCAAAGAAAGTTCCTTACAGCATGCATCATTAGACAATTCTAATTGGAAAACAAATGGCTAAACAATGTGGAATTAATGGTTGTGAACTTTTAGACTTCTTTCCAAATGATGAAAATTTTGGTTAATCCTTCAAAACCCTTGACAAAGTATCAATAGAAACAGCTATTTTGATATAGTGATTGACCCAAAATGTATAAATAAGATGAATTAGACGCCATATGCATCTTCTAGGAACTTGCTTTCTCTTTCAATGCCTTGAATAATGAGCTATTTGCGTAGAATAAAAGTTTCAGGTCTAATCTTGACCAGCTTTCCATAACTGAGGCTTAAGCATTCTGTTTTCTTTTAATTAAAAAAAAAAAAACAACTACAAATCAACCAAGATATTTGACCTGTAATTTTGGGAATCAAATTTTTAGAAATGGGACAAAAGTAATACTTTTTGAAAGGATTTCTAGTGATATTTCAGAGTGTCCCAATATCTATATTCAAGCTGTCAATAGTTTCCCACTTTTAAGTTGTTTTTGCCTTGGCATATCCATTGCTATTACCTGCAAGAATAATTTATGCCCTGCAAAAGTTTAATTAATCATTGATTTTGCTCATTCATGTACTTGACAAAGAGTGAAATCTCAACTTGCTTCCTTTCTAAAAAGTAATCAAATAAATAAAAGGGAAAGTGGAAATGCATAAATTCTTTTAGCTTCTAAAGGTAGATGGATTCCCTACTCTCTCCGGACTTGTGAAGATCATATAAAAGATGGCTGAAGGCTCCTGATTTTTTAAGCTTTTCTTTAATGGCTTGACTGTTTTGGGTCCCTTAACAATACATGTGGTGGTGTTGGAAAGTAGTGGATGTGCCAATTCCAAATTTAATGCCCACTCATTCCTAGCTCGTGTTTTGATAATCTCTGTTTAACTCTTTACTTTTTTTTTTTATCCTCGAATCAAAGTTAAATTTATAATTCTTTTAAATTAAAATAATATTTTTAAATATAGTAATTTTGATATAAAAATTGAAAAAATATAAAAATTATATTATTGTAAGTGAATTTCAATTTATATATAATTTAATGAATAGAAATCCAATTACATTAGTATAAATGTTACATTTTTTATTTTTGAATTAAAATAGTTAAGATTTAAAATATTTATTTTATCCAAATTCAAATGATTAAAAAAAAAGTATAATATTTACACTAATATAAATAAATCCCTCCTCTAATTTAATTCCTACCCTCTCCTCTTTCCCAGTTTTTATTAACAGATGCTCAAGGTACATTTGGTGCATACAACAATTTTGCATACAAATCATTAATGAAATTCTGTTCTGGCACATTGCTGAGATGAAAAGAATTTGAATGAAACTTCTAATATGCTATAGACTTGGTCATTTTAGCACTGAAAAGTTGAAACAGTCCCTGAACAACTCCAACATATAGCTAGTGATTTTACCAATCATTAAAAGCAATCCCAGAGCCTAGTCCATGACAGTAAATATCAATAATGCATAGCATAATTTCTGCCTTAGTCCCTATTTCTACATAAATAAAGGGATTCAATTTTTTTATGATCCTTTTGCAGCTCTTCAATGGTGGATATCTGAATAAAGGTATAATTGATTACATTTTTGTTTTCAAGTTTTGGTGGAGTGCCTTTAGTTAACATACTATTTATGATGATATAGATTTATTCGGGACCACTTCTTGAAATGCCAAGACGGGCATCTTTCAAACTGCAGATTGTGAATATGAGGCATCATAACGAAGCATGCGGTATTTCCTCTTCTTACGTGATGGTGAGAGCAATTGAAAAGAAGTAAGATTTGCGGAATCAAATCAAAGGAGCATGAGTTTCTATAAATAATCATGGCACGCATGATGTGCACATGATCCCAGTAACTCCCCTGCAAAGCAAACACTTGGCAATTGGCATAGAATTTTGGCATGCTGAGATGTTACCACATGAAACTTGTTTTCTTTAGCAGGAAATGATGTGGTTCATCAGCCTTAATGCAAATTTTATTTAAGTTAAAAAGGACCCAAAACAGTAGTGCCTAACCAACTCATCAGTTAGATCTTTTGAGCCATGTGATAAGTGGTCCAAACTCTCGCATGAATTTGAATTGGAGTCCAATGTAGTCCGGATCATCAGATCCAAAAAAACAAGCCCATTTTTCAAGAAAAACAAAAAGCAAAATCATATATTGTTTACGACCAATTTTAAAACGACGTCGTTTTCTTTTTTAGATTCTCATTCGCCGAGACAACACAAATCTTGAAAAAAATCTATGGTAAGGAAAGTCAGGCAAGATTTGTAAAATGTCGGTTGAGGTTCTTGTCTTCTGGACTAAGTCGAAATCTATCTTTGACGTCAGCAATTAAATCCCAATTTCCAAAGGTCTTTTCTCCTTCTCTTCCTTTTTTTTGGGGGTTTTTCTTCTGGGTGATTAGTGTTTAAGTTGCTGTTAATTTACTTCTAATTACAACTTAAAATCTCTCCGTCTTTCTCCTTGTTTGAGTTCTAATTTTATTGGTTTCTTACATACCCTTTGTAAAGATACTTAGGTTCTTTTATTTTGTTCTTTGTTTAAGTTTGTTATCATAGTCAAACATATAAATTCTTAATACGTTAATTTCTTGTTTGTTTCTTAATAGCCTTTTGGAGAATTTTCCTACTGTTTTTATTACTATTGTTTGTTGTTTGTGTTTGCAACCTTTTTGAATTTTGTTATAATTTTTGGAAGCTTTAATTCTTTGTTCTAAGAAAGGTTGTTTCGATTTGCCATTGTAGTGACTGCTTTAAGTTTAAGGACAATTATCATATACACCAGAGGAGTGGAGTGTAAAAACTTTGTTAACAGATTTATGCACTTGACATGTCTCCATGTCGGTTTAACTACAGATAAGGAATCCAACGTTGAACCATATTAAGTTAATATAGTTAGATAGATGGTCAAATGAAGAGGTATAAATTCACTTGTGAAGTTTTTGGACTCTGCCAATGGTGGTTAATACAATTATCCATACTTGAATCTCAAGTACAAAAACTAGTGCAGATGGCATTTAGTGCTGGGGCTATAATGTTTTTACTTGGTCTCGTGGATTACTAAAAGATGAAAATCCAGATGCTTGCTGTAGATTGTCCGCAATGTTTATTGGAGTTAGAACTTTTTATTTAGCAATCAGAGTTAGACCCTGGACATTTAAGAGATGTCCATTCCATTGAATTGTTTGGTTGGTCCTTAATAACAGAGAGCGAGTTTTAAGTTGAATGGTTAAATAATAACACTGAGCTCAAATAAACTAATAAGTAATATGTTTGCTTCATCATGTCATTTGATACTTGTTGTCTTTGGTAACAGGGCCCTATGAAAAAAGGGAATGATGAAGGAGGTTGCAGAAAACATGGAGGCTGAATCTGTTAAGGCAAATGATAGAAAACGATCTTTGCATGAAAATTCTGGGGTTTCAACCAATTCTGCTTCTTTTTCAATAGCCAATATCGAAATGCAAGATAATATTGTAGAAGTAAATAAGTCACAAACTTCAATTGTGGGAACTTTAGAGACAGGCAAGGCTGTGGCTCAAATTTTTTCAGAAGTAAGATCAGCCATAAAAAAGAAGACCAAGTTTAGGAAAAGGATGGAGGAGCAGCAGCAGCTTGATTCCTCAGAAAATAGTGCTCAAAGTCAAACTGATAAGCTGCCTGAGGAAGTTGGCCTTAGTAACACTGATAAAATGAATACTATTTCAACTCTAACTCTATCAGATGAAGGAAATAGTGAAGAAAAGATTGATTCCTTCAATGCAAATGAAACAAATGATGATTCTCTTGGTATTATTAGACCTCCTGTTAGTCAATTGAGGAATAAACTTCTTGTTCTTGATTTGAATGGGTTACTTGCTGATATAGTCTATCCTCCTCCATTGAATTACACAGCAGATGCATACATTGTAGGACGGGCAAGTGAGAACTTGGGATTGAAAACTTTATTTGCTCATGTTAATGCATTTTCTGTTCAAACTATTTGAAAACTAATTGGGATTTTTCTTTCTTCTTTAGTTTTTAAGAGACCTTTCTGCGATGATTTTTTAAGGTTTTCTTTTGAGAGGTTTGAGGTTGGTATTTGGTCTTCAAGAAACAGGTATTTTTCAATAAGTTTTGGTTTATTCTATTTTATTTTTTGTTTGAAACAAACAATTGATTGCCTTTTCTTATTGCTAAATTGTTGCCATGGAGCATTGATATATTACTGTTAATCGCTAGATTTATTAACTGTTGCAGGAAAAATGTGGAAAGATTCATTGATTTTCTGATGGGAGATATGAAGCATAAATTACTGTTTTGTTGGGTAATTATGGCCTCTTTCCTTTTACTTTCTGCAGAAGGCTTACTTGCTTATTATATACTTTGTATTTTTAAGTCATCTTTGTTACCATTGCCTAGTTGTTGTCCATGTGTAAGAAAATGTTGTAGCTGACTTTAGGCAAGATTGATGCTTGATCACTAGCAGGAGTACAGATTGAATTTTGTAGCCATTGAACCTTTGCTTTGTATTCTCAGGAAAAAAAGGGTCCTGCTTGGTGCCCCTGCCTAAGAAAATGTTCTATCTGATTGATGGTGACCAAAAAGAGTGCAGATTGAATCTTCTAGCCATTTCACCTTTGACTTGTATTCTTAAAAAAAAAAAAAAAGGGCCCTGCTTTGGTGCCCCACCGAGTAAAGAAATTCTGTTTCCTTAGTTCGAGGATTGGGTTCTTTGCTAGGAGTTTAACCTTTGCTTTGTATTCTCAGAAGAAGTAAAGAAAAAAAAGGACCTGCTTGGTGCCCTGCCTAAGAAAATGTTCTATCTGATTCATGGTTGACCACCAGAAAGAGTACAGGTCGAATCATCTAGCTGTTTCACCTTTGCTTTATATTCTTAAAAAAAGAAAAAATGACCCTGCTTTGGTACCTCACTGAGTAAAGAAATTCAGTTTCCTTAGTTTGAGGATTGGGTTCTTTGCTAGGAGTCCTTTTGTAACACCATTTTACATGAGAGCTAATTTAAGATAGTATCAGAAGATTATTGACTGAGTACATGGTATTGGTATTTACTTGAACAAATCATGAATTGAGATGTCATTTTACTGTTATGTTCAAAGTTTCCTTGTATGTCTACTAATGTACTGGTCTCAATTTGTCAATGCTTTTTGCATCAAACACAATTTTCTTATACAATTAAACTGGGAAGGGTTCAAATTCTAATCCATTTGTGTTATGCACAATGATTTGTTAGGATTCATCTTACTGCACCACGACTCAATTCAATACTCCTGGGCATAGATATAAGCCCTTGGTTTTTAAAGACTTGAGGAAGATCTGGGAAAAACATGATCCTGATCTTCCATGGGAGAAGGGATATTACAATGAATCAAATACGTTGTTGATAGATGATTCTCCTTACAAAGCACTGCTTAATCCCGTAAGTTTGTGGACTACTTTTCTTTGTTGTTCGGGCCACTAATATTTTGCTTTGTCTTTTTAATATAGGTCTAGATTTTTGTTTTTGATTTTCTGTTAATCTTTGATCTTGTAGCCACATACTGCGATATTTCCTTATTCATTCAAGTTCGAGAGGAATGACAATTCGTTAGGTAAGATGACTTCTAAAAATATTTACTATTGTTAAGTTCAATAATTCAAACAACGTTGAATAACTTGTGTACATCTCTTTTCTGTTCAATGCTTACTAATTGCAAGTAAACATCAATTGGCATTGATGCATTTGGCAAAGAGGTCAAAGGAAAATAAAATGAAATTAAATGGAAAAAGAAAGAAAAGCAGAATTATTGTCTACTATGCTTTGCTGAAATAAAATGTTTGTATGTAAAGTTCTTTTTTTTTCATTTTTGTGCAATAATCTGTTACAATATATTCAGTTGACTATCCTGTTAGACTTCTGGGTCAGTGGAATGTTGGTTTTTCGATAAAGAGTTAGATTTTATTTATTTCAGGTGATGGAGGTGATCTTAGAGTTTATTTGGAAAGACTAGCTTCAGCTGAGGATGTACAGAACTTTATAGAGCAAAACCCCTTTGGTCAGAAAGCTATCACTGAAAGAAGCCGTGATTGGGGTTTCTACAGCCAGGTTATCGATACATGTGTTCGTTCTGAAGTACAAAATAATGTAAGATCTCCCAGCTTAACTCATAGTTTGGATTCTGTTGGTGAAAATAAAGTCTAGTATAAGCAACTTACATGCAGAGAGAATTTGATAACAAGCAAAAATGTGAAGGTCTAGGGAGGATTCGTTTCTGAGAATTGCTATATTTTGCTTTGTTTTTGTGTCATGCTTTTATAATTTTGTATTTTTTGTTGGATCACATATAGATTGTTACCTATTGTACCTTCTTTATATATATATATATATCATAAAGTGTGTAATTTTTAAGGCAAGCTAATGTGGATGAAGTTGGTTAACATTAATGTATCAATCCGACGAAGTCCATATTTCAATCTTTGTGGTGCATCATGCTTCCGGAAATATGTAGTTTGATTTCTGTTAGAAAATTAGTTGTTTTGCCAATAGACAACAAACGCTTACATTATTTATGTTTTATAGGAAGGAAATGAAGGGAAGGGAAAAAGTGAGGAAAGAAAAAAAAATGAGAGGAAGGAAAGTTATTTTTCTTTCATTATATTTAATATAAAGGATGAAAAATAGAGAGTAAGAAGAGGTTAAGAGTAAATGTGTAATTAAAATTATTAATTTGAATGTGTTTTCTTTTCAAATTTAGAATGACTGAATGTGGAGGAAAGGAAAAAAAGTGCAAATTTATTATTTTTTCCCTTATATTTCATCTATCAAATGAAAAAAAAAAAAGGATGGAAAGAAAATATTTAATATTTAAAGAAATAATGCTTGTAATAATTATACATATTATTTAACAAAATAATATTAAAAATATGAAATATAAAATATACAAAAATAAACTGATTTAAATATAAATACAAAACCAAATAAAAACAAAAAAAGGGACATTATGTTAAAAAAAAAAAATCCAGTGCAGATGCTCACTGCGCTTTTTTCTCGATTGCATCAAATAAATGCTAAAATCTCACCACAAAGGGGCCTGAGATTGTTTTATGTAGGATGATTTATGGGTTCCTAGAAAATGTTCTTAAGCTCGTCAATGACCAAAATTTCTTCTGACAATATTTATTTGCACAAGTCAAATCAAACAGCACCTTCCACTTGGATAATGTCTATTGGAAATATCCTTCGCGATAGTCCTATAGCCAATAATATTTTGGTATATTCAGCTCCAAAGAAACAAAGTTCCCTTCCAGAATAAGATGGAACTAACTGCTGATTGGCACAACATGTTGATTCACAAGCTGGTTGATTAGTAGACATTGTTGGGAAGGTAACTACTACAGCAGGGCATCCCACTTCACATATATTCCTGCAACAAAGCGAGGGCATTTGAGACTTTAAAATGGACGGATATTCCTGCGATGAAGTTGCAGCGGCTTCAAAATTTGGTGATTCAAAACTATCTTAGGACCTTGTCTCAAATACTGTCAAACCATGTCACCCAAAAAACTATCCTTTGATGATGTTATACTTGTCATTTTTCTTTTGTTACAATTAAGATTTGCCCTTGGTGTCTGTCAAGGATTCATCGTTTCATCATTTAAAAACGCAAAAAAAGTCCAGTTGGCGCATGGCTTGTGGTGGTTGGGCTACTACAACTGCATATGTTGTCGCATTGGGCTGAGGGAAGAAAATTTCAGGCAGCAATCATTGAATTGAGAGACAAAATGGAAAATGATAGAAATTTTACAAAATGTACAAAAAATTCTATGTTCACCACAGTTAATTAAACTGAGGGAATAAGCTTTCAGGCTTCCAATATCTTTCAAATGAGAAGCAGTTGTAGCTCTGTTCTCAGGATTCAAGTACCAATGAATCTACTGACAATGGCACGATTAATGAGTCTTAAAATGGCCTGCTGAATTTAATATTTTTTGTTACACATCAAATCACCAAATAAATGTACTTATCCAATGAACGGAAACAAAAACTGTCAACTCATTCATGCTTTTGTTTTTTGTTGAATTCATGGTAGGAGCAAAAAGCCTATTACGATTACCCTTTAGTTTAGTGCTTTTTTGTTTTGTTATTTTTTTTTCTGATAAACAAAGTGGTGCCCCACAAGAAATAAGAAGTCATTTCACATTTCAAACCATGACAACCTATGAACTGATTAAAGCTGCATGCTGCTATCTGCATTTTCATGACTTTGTGTCATATACCATCATTTTCTCTTCCACCCATTTTCCACTCCAAAGAAGTTTGGTATAGACTTTACAAGACTTTAAGGCCCATTGCCCATTCCCTGGACCGACTTTAAAAATCTTGCACACTTTATTGGCTGCAGAGAACACTAACAGACAGCTCATAGAGGGTTACAGTACTGTTATTATACCATATTTCAATGGCATATCTCAGTCATAGATACATATAATTATAATAGTGTCATACAACTTATTTGAAACCACCGACAGGGAGGTCCCCATGAACCAAACTAATAAGAATCTTCACTCAATGAAGTGAGGAAAGAAAGTTTATTCGGACTATTTACAAATTGTTCAGTTGTGAAACATAACCATATCTGATCGATCAGGATATGGTAAGCATAATCAATCAAGTAACAATCTTGATTAATGGTTCAATGAAGCGAAGAAAGAAAGTTTCTTTGGACTCTTATGATTGTTCAGTTGTGAAAGATTAGACTTTCCTGACTGTATCTGATTGATCAAGATATGGCAAAGATAATCAAGTAGGCAGTCCATGTGCAGTATAGATAACTCTCTGCTGATAATGAACTGTCAATTTGATTGTGTCATTTTCTTTCTCTCTTGCAACTTGCAAATCCCATTAAAAAAAATCTGCCAATTTGCATTAAAAATCAATAATCCATAATGGTTTTACGTGACATGTATTAATCTTTAATTTTTTTGGTACATAAAATGCTACAGTCTGAAGATACAGATATTAAGATTTTTAATTAAAGGTTTTGCATATGCAAGTTCATCTAGATATATATATATATATATATATATATATATCCATATCTGGCAGGACCTAACCTTAACCTTCCATTTAGGTTAATGCTTTCTTGGGTACTAAGCCATTTTCACTAACGAACATGTGCTTCCTTGATTTAGCTAAACAAACTAAACTGCATATAGGAAGTTGAGAAGAAACATGATTTTACCAAATTTCAATAACTTCAATTTGTTGGGATTCTTACATTCCAAGATTAGATCTATAAAGATTTCCAATGCTTCATCTTTCACATGTGATAAAAGGGAAAAGATGGAATCTTGACTTAACCCCACAATGAAAAATAAACCCTACCCCCTCCCTTGTTTAATGCTCACACTATCCCAGGCTCCTTTATCAAACACCTTAGAATGTGAGCATGAACATGCCTTTTACGTTTTGAAATACCAAATGTTGCTGCAATTTTAAATTTCCCTCTTCGAACTCTGACCATAAAATTCTTTATTCTGATTTCACAAACTCTTTGGGAGATGGTGTATCCCAATTTTGGTGTTGACTTAAAAAACCCCAACAAAAAAAAAAAAAAAGAATAAAAATTGGTGATTCACATGGTTTATTTGGGCTAAGGGTGTTTGAGTGGGAACATTCATGTGCCAATCAAGGTTGGCTTGACGAGGCAAACCAGCACTTTAGGAACGTCATTTTGGGATGGAGATGGCTTAGTTGGTATTTGGTCCCTTCCCTGCATGATCAAGTGTAGGCATCCTACATGTGATTCTCCCACTTTATGCATGTGGTTTTGCTTCCCCTTTTCCCTATCAATTCCATTTCATCCATCACCATCAAACTCTATACCATAATTGCTTTTCTGAATTGAATAAAATATTATGATTTTGCAACCAAAACCACTTGCCACCGTGAGCTATTATATCCATTAATAAAATCAAAGTTGATTCTGAATTTGCAGAAATTAATAGGAGATCCGAATCAACAGGGAAGATACAAGCACTTACGCTCCGTGCAATTAAATTAGTAATCTTAATTAAGCATGGCTTGCTTTCATTGAAAAATCTAAAAAAAAAAAAGGTTTGAATGAGATTTTACTTAAGTTTTGTCTATATATTTTCATGATATTATATCATGAGTTGAATTTTGAAAATCTCTTTCATTAAAATTTTTTTATAGAGTATTAGATTTTTTATTTTAATGATTAAAATTTAATTTTGATAGTCTTCCATAAAAAATTAATGAATTCGGAACTATATTATTAGCATGATCTTAGAGGGATAATGAGATTTACTTATATACTTTTTAAAATTTTTTAAAACACCTCCACTATCTTTTATATTTATTTGGCTGAAAAGAATATCACGCACATGAAATTTTTGCCTCTAACCTCCAAACGTCAACAAAAACCTTATACCAATTCATCCAAACATTATTAGATTTGCAAAGTCTTGCAATTCTTGATTTCCTAATAAGGGATTAGAAAAAAAGAGTACCAATAATGCGAATTCACCAACACATAAAAGGGTAGAACTTGAAATATTTTAATTTAAAGATTTTAAATTCAAATTATTAAGTACTATTATTTCCGAGATGTTAAAACTTGATTTTTTGTGATTTTATATTCAAATTAAAATTTTAATTAATTTTAAATTAAATACTTAACATAAATAATATGTAACTTGTATAATTTAATGTTGAAGTCGTATCTTTGAACAAAAATTCTAGCACAAAGGAATTTTGCAAATTAAAATAGTTGTGGGGAGAACTAAAATATCCCAAATTCATAGGACCAATATAATATTTTCCTAGGCATTATTTTTCAAAATAATGCATTTCTTATCTTAGCTCATTCAATCTGTCTCTTGAAACAAAATAAATTATAAAATTTTTATTTCACCTACTTAAAATACCTTGACAATTAGTAAAAGAAACAATTATAATTATTCCAAATTGTTTGTATTTTTCCCTTTTTTTTTTTTTTTTTCTAATTTTCGACATATCATAAGACTTCTCTAAATCAAGGGGGCAAATATAAAATTGGTAGACAGCTTACATTCCAATGGCTATAATTAACTAAAAGCACAATTGGTCGTACAACTCATTTGGTAGACAAAAGCACGTGATGCCCTTCTATTTTATCTAAACTTTTTTATGAATTGAATTAATCTTTAGAATTTTAGACATTTATTAAATTTATAATCATGTTCTCGAAAAAAATCATAACAAAAAATAAATTTAGATTCATGAACGTTTTGCATTTCTTTTTAAATATGATGTTAAACTACATAATAAGACATAAATTTAAATTTGAAACTTTAAAATTGAAATCTTAAGATTCAAGTTAAGTCATTGAAATATCTTGTGGAGGATGAGTGGGAGAAACTATTAGGAAATTAATTTTCTTTTATTTTAAAGACAACGATTGGAGCTTAGAAATTTCCTTATTCGTTAAAGTGGGACATTGACATCAACGTGGGTAGAGGGATTAGCCCAACTATTTTATCTGACAGAAAAAGAACAGAAAAAAAAAAAAAAAAAAACCAGCCTTATTCATATGAAATGGTGATTATCTTAAAAGAAAAATGTAGTGAAAATGTCTTTTTTTTTTTTTTTTTGACCATCCTACGTTTCTCATATTTTTCAAATTTTATCAAAATGAAAGCATTAATACTTCTATATATTCTATGAAAAAAAAGTAAATGAACAGCATAAATAATTAATTTACCAATTCTAATCCTAAAGTAAGAAAGCAATAGTGCCGTTAGCCATAATTGACCAAAGTGGAGAGTGGTAGACAGAAGACATTATGTGTAGCTGTTTTTCTCCATGTAATAAACTGAAGTATTAACGGCTAATTAACTAAAGGAAGATGATTAAATTGTACAAGATAGAGATTGGGGAGCCCATTTTGTTAAATGATGGTGAAGGTACTCCTAGGTTTTGACATATCACATTCATTCCAACTTGACAACATCACATTAAATGATTGTCTAGCTACCAGCATTTATGCTGATATATGTTATAATTCAGTAGTCCTCTCTCTGCTTGTCTGTCTGTCTGTCACTCTTTCCCTAATAATCTTGAATCACATAGATTTGCCCATAAACATTAAAATTAAGGGTTAACGAGGATATTAAATTACAATAAAGTATTTAATATAATATTTAAATTTTAAAAATTTTTAATATGATATTTGAATTATGAATCAGTTAATAATATGGTATTCATTTTTAATATTATTAGTTATAAATGATGATATATGATTGATAAATAATTTTTTAAATATCATATTAATTAATAAATTTATAATTTAAATATTATATTAAAAAATTAAAATTAAAATATCATATTAAATATTTTACTATATATATTTAAAAAATTATTCGTGACATTATCTCTAAAATTAACCATTATGAGGAACTATGATGCTTCAATTATTTTTAAGTTTTTACTAAAATTTGAGGATTAGAAAGGCATACGATCTCATTGGTTAATTATGTGTCGAACAAGGCTATTCAAGAAAAGTGAAGTGTACAATACGATTCTATCCTAGCTAGTACAGATTAACCCTCTTATCTAAGAAAAAAACTATGAGGTTTGAAGTTTTCAAGTAGTTCATCTGAACCCTGATGAGAATGTATTTGTCTATTCTACACGATCGAAGCCAATGTAACCCGACCATGATAGGATTAAGTATTGGGAGTTTCTTCAAATAAAATCTTGTATCAATGTTTTTGAAGCACAGTTATGATCAAACGTACGTACCAAAGGAAATCACGTATGGCCAAACTATATGCACTACTGTTACTAGTACATATAAAGAAAATAAGAATACAATGAGAGAAGCGTTTTTAGCAGCTAGTGACTATTGCATCTTAGCTAGGAAATTTCATGAATCTTGCAAAAATACTTCATAATTGAAATCGCAATGGGATATGAGTGATGTTATTTTATATATATTTGGTTATTTGCATATATGTACTGTGGTTATTTTATCTCAAATATATATAAAATACAAAAATTATTATATTATAATTTATATCGATAAATCAAATACAAAATTTATTTTTTTGATTTTTATTAAATTTATATATGATTTTTATTAAAATTTTAAATTATGTTATTATAATATTTTTTTTATATAATTTTAATATCTTATCACATATCGTGTTTAAATTGTCGATCTCCTGTAATTAATTGGCAAATGGTATGAATGAAAACAATGAGTCAATAAATAATAATTTTACAGATACATATTTCTTTCTAAATGATCGGATAGCTAAACCATTGAACATTAGCAATATTTCTTCTCAATGTAGTGTTGGCTTGTAACTTGTTAGGTTAAATAGGAGACAGAGGGCAGAAGGTACTATTGGCAAGTTAAAGCTGAGGCCTGAAGAAGAGAATGGTTAAAAAAGGAAGGGTTTTCCAGTACATAACTTCACTTTCTTCTTATTTGTTGTTGTTTGTTGCCACTATGTGACAGACTCCACATGCTCATGGTGGGAAAGGTCCTGACTGCAGACCCACCCACATGGAAGTGGGAGAAAATCAGCAAAGCTGATCTGACCCACCTGTTCACATAATCAGACCCTCCAACTCCAACTCCAACTCCAACTCCAACTCCAACTCCAAGCCTTTCAATCTCTCTCCCTTTTCCAATTATTCAATTCCCTCATTTATTTATTCTTTTTAAAGTCTTTTACATAGAAATCAGACCCACACATTCCAAGTCCCTCTTTCTTACATACAGATTAAATACATACAGAAAACAAGTGGGCAGTGCAACTTCTCATTCTTCTCACCACTAGATTTCACATAACACACCAACATCCCCCCTGTTATGTACTCTAAGCCTCTAGCTGCCTTTATCCTAGAGAAGAGAGAGCCAAAAAACAAAGTATTGTTTTCTTTGGTCAGGAAACCCAAAAAACATCTCTTATTGGGGTCTGGAACTCCCCTTAAGTGTTTCATAGATTAGAATAGTCCTTTGAAGGTGGGGGCTGTTTTTAGTTTTTTCTTTTTGGTCCCCTCTTCCCTTTTTTTTTTTTTTTTATTTTGTTTCTTTTGGTTTTCTTACAGAAGATATTGTCTGCCTTGTTCTGTGAAGCCCAAGAAAACGTTTTATCTCATTGCAAATGGGAAGAATGGAAATGTGGGGTTCTATCAATCTCTCTTTTTATCTTTAAATTTGTCCCAAACATTCTCCTTTCTGTTAGTATTCAGAAAATTCTCTGAAACCTCACAAAAGAAAAAAACACACACCACTCCAAAAGAAAGAAATATCTGAGTTACAGAAAAAGAAAAAAAGAAAAACATTCAGCATTCAGAATCCTGACATGTAACAAGCTAGAATATACTTGGAAGCCTCAACAACATAAACCTTTTACAAGGTTTCTCCCGATGCATATGGCATGTTAACCTTTCGAAACACATGGATTCATTCATTGTCATCTAAGTTTTGCGGAAGCTAAGAAAGTTTAGGTTCTGTTTGTTTTTGTTAAGTTGTAGAGAGAAAGTGAACATGTCTGCAAAGTTTTTATATTCTTTATCAGATGAAAACCCAGATCTGCAAAAGCAGATTGGGTGCATGAATGGACTGTTCGAGCTCTTTGACCGCCACCATTTCCTTGGTAGCAGACGCATTGCCACTCCAAACCACAAAAGGCTTCCACCAGGTACTTTATCTCAGTTTTTATAAGGTGTTCCGACCGTGTTAAGAAAAATTAGATCAGGTTAACATCAATAAATTTCTATCATGAGTGTTTTAGGCCAGAGAGGTTGTGAGTTTTGAGAGATTTCGAGTTCTGCTAATTTCATCAACATGTTTAGCTCCAACTTGAAAGTACCAACATAGTGGATGAAGTTAAAGTCTGCAACATTTTTCTCAGTTCTTCCAATTCTGTTTGCATCTACAGGAATTTTTAGTCTTACTTCAATGTCTGGGAAAGTTGATTTTGTTTAAAGGGTTCCCTGATAGATTAAGTGGTTCATGTGCATTATTAACACTTTTATTGCACTAATCAATTACTGTTGTTTCAGTAGTCTGTTTTTAATCGTTATTTTTTCCTTTAAATAATATATATTTTCCATTTTGCAACCTTCTAATGTCTAAAACCATCCACTTTGCTACCTTCTATGGCTGACATTCAGTGTTTCTCTAGGTCAAAACGGCAGGCAAGGAACAGAACCCAAGATTGCTTCGCAAAAGATAAAAGTAAGAAATAATCCTGACACTTGAATTTTTGGAGGAATTGACAAAAATAATTAAAGCTAATGAAACCTACATATGCAGGAAAATAATCTGAAGAAATATGTGAAGGAGAAACAAAGAGTGTCCTTTGAATCACCCAGAACCTCGTTTTCAACTTCCTCTTGCTCATCTGGTTTCTCATCTGCTGACTGCAGCAAAGCATCTCAAGTAGACCGATCTTCATTGTGCCAAACCACCTGCTCTGAAACCCCAAGGCTGGAAATATCCAATTATCAATCAAATGCTTCTTTGCAATCAAACCAACACTCCCTTGACCTCCGAAATGTGGTTAAAGACTCCATCTATAGAGAAGCCCGGGGATTATTAATTAGAACTGCAACAAAAGTGGAAGCAGGGCGCCACCAAACCTTGAAGTACATAGATTCCCCAAGACCTTTGCAGTCACCAAAACCTGCAAACACCAGGAACACCAGTCTCAATGAATCAAGTCATGTCCTTCCTAAGCTTCGAGAAGCGCCTAGAATGTCCAATGAACGCAATGATGGTTCTCTTTCTTTTGCACCAAGGGATGCTCCTCGGTTCTCTTATGATGGAAGGGGGTCACAAGATGCACTTAAGATTAAGCTCAAAGATCTCCCAAGGCTATCACTAGATAGCAGGGAAAGTAGGAAATCAAATTTTCTTCTAGGAGAGCTGAACAGGAGTAGCATAGACTCCAATGACATAAGAAACCAACAGCAAGAATCTGGAAGCTACAAAGGACCGTCTAGTGTTGTAGCGAAGTTGATGGGGTTGGAAGAATTGCCAGACCCCATACTAACCAATGGGAATCAAAGACGACAGCTGAAAACCTGTCAGGACTTGAAAGATGATCCCCTCTCACGCTCATCGAGATTTGATGAGAAGAAGAATCGGATTTCTGGCTCACCAAGAAATTCAAAAAAGGAACCCAGCTCACCCAACTTGACAAATGCGAGTTCAAAGAAACCTGTTACAACTAGAAGCCCAATTGAACCAGCCCCATGGAAGCAGCTGGATGGAAACAGGGATCAAACGTCAGCTTTGAAATGTCGAGAAACTCCACTGAAAGCCCCAAACTCCTCTCTAACTGTTTATGGTGAAATTGAAAAAAGGTTCGCAGAACTCGGGTTCAAGGAGTCAGGAAAGGGTCTTAGAGCCCTTAAACAAATACTTGAAGTAAAGCAGAAGTCTAAACAGATGTTAGAGACCAGAAAAGAAGACCAAGCTTCAAATTTTGTATCTCACACAAACAGCATCCTTGGTCAGAGCTCAGTAGCACCAAATTTGAGAAAGATACAAATTAGCAATGCAGTTTCAGCCACATTTAAGGGAACTAGTTCTCCAACATGCCTTAGATCCCCAATCCAGATTACAAAACCAGTAAAATTTATGGAAAATGCCAGCAATTCTACTTCATCTGTTGTTGCAACTGGGACTTTAAGCAGGCTTCGCACTGGCAGCCCTGCAGATGCCAGGAACCATAAGATTGACAAGCGATCATATAAAGATTTAACTCCAAAACCTAATCCTCATAGCTATCCTTCAAGTCCAAGCCATTCAAGAGATAGGAATAATGCCAGAACTCTAAGATTCAACCAAATTTCAAAAGAGCTGTCACCTACTGCTCGAGAAAACCCTAAGCTGGCAATGAGCTCAGAGACCACACGCCTTAAAGTGCAGCAGAAGAAGCTTGAATCGGGAAGCCAATCACGTTGCACCAGTCCAGCATCAAATCAGAGCAGGAGCAGAAGGCAATCAAGCAGGCTACAAGCAGAACCAACCTTGGCACATCGAAACCCCAGGCATAAATCTCACAATTTGCAGCGGAGTGATGACCAATTAAGCGATGTCAGTAGTGACATGAGAGATTTTAGTCAGCAGGGAGATGCTAGTTCAATGAAATCTGAGAGCAATATGAGTGTGGCCTCCTATAGTGACATTGAAGTCACAAGTGCTGACAGATCTTGCAAGGCAGGGGGTACATTCTCCCGAAAACATGAAAAGAAGCAGAACGTAAGTTTTCTTCCTTCTTTTCATTCATATAGTATTTTGATCATCCCTAAACTGCTTACATTTCTTTCAGAATCCAGTCACAAGGTTTAGTGTAGGTGGTTCAACAGCAGAACCTCCAAGAACTGCCCTGGAACAACCTAGTCCTGTCTCTGTTCTAGATGCCACATTTTATGGAGACGAATCACCATCTCCTGTGAAGAAAAAATCAAATGCCTTCGAAGGTGAAACTCCTATATCCTTTATGCCTCAAGTGTGCTAAACTGAAACTTCAATTATAATGATTTCCATCATCATAAAAGCAAATTATGCCTGTAATAATTATACATCCACCATGCCAATTAATAAATTAGTTCGTACTTACTATCACAAGACATGTAGAAAGCAGAACTTGTACATCTAAGAATTGCGTATGCATAGAAACCAAGATACTAGCTATTTGTTACAAAAGGCTTGGCCAGTTCATAGATTGAATTCATTTCACATTTTCTTTTATGACAGATGATGAGGGTCTTATCCCTAATGAAGCAGACTGGAGTCCTAGAGGTCTAAATCACTTAGCCACCAGCAAAGAAACCAGTCTCAGGTTCAAGACAGATTGCAGGAAAGCAGAAAACATCCAGCACATGGTCCGGAAACTCATGAACTTAGATTCTATCCATGAGTGGTCCACTGTCAATGAAATTTCTCCCGCTTTCAGTAGTCCAAATCCAGACCATAAATACATTGTTGAAGTCATGTTGGCATCAGGTCTCCTCAGCGAGCTGGACTCCTGCTTCTTGCCCTACCACCTTTATCCGTCAGATCATCTAGTCAATCCTACCTTGTTCCCCGCCCTAGAGCAAACCAAGGCAAGCATTAGGCTTGAAAATGGAAAACACAATGGCAGAAAAATCAAACAGTTAGAGCCCATTGAGAAGAACCACAGGCAGCTTATATTTGATGCAGTTAATGAAATTGTAGTCAGAAAATTAGTTAAGGAAGGCTCTTACAAGCAGTGGCTCTCACCAAGTACGCCAGAGGATAGAAGACCAAAAGGACAGCAGCTGGTAAGAGACTTATGTTCAGAAATAGATAAAATACAAACTGCATCAAATATAAGCTCGGATAATGAGGATGATAGTCTGAAAAGCATTTTATGGGGAGATTTGACGCTTGGATCGATGGATTGGACGGAGTGTCGGAGTGAAATTCCATGGGTAGTGCTAGATGTGGAGAGGTTGATCTTCAAAGACTTAATATGTGAAGTTATCAGTGGTGAAGCAGAAAATCCACAAGGGCAGGCTGGCAGGCATTGTAGGCGACTGTTTTCGAAGTAGGATTTCTAATACTGTTTTTAATATTTTTGGGATGGATGAAAGGGGTAAACAGGATAGAGGGTGGTAGTGTACTTCAAATTTCTTTTTCTTTTTCTTGGATACTTTGGGGCTATAGTCCAAAATAAAACTTTGCATGAAACTTACCTTGATGACACCAAGTAAATTAAAAAGCCTGTGAAATACTTGTAAATTGCAACCTTATGTATATACTAACATATGTATTCTCTCCATTTCGAAGTCACCATTTTGGCAGTACGATACTATCTGGATCAAGCATATCAATATAAGATAACTTTCTTTCTTCAACTACTAACAAAGAAGAAATCACAGAATTTAATAATCTTCAAATAGTAAGAGTTGGTCCAGAGTTATAAATATATTGTTGTTTCAATGGCTCATTAAACATATTGCTCTGCTTACCATTTGCACCAAACAGACAATTCATCACCATTTTGAGTGGTTATATAAGTGTTCACTGTTAAACAGGACCTCCTCAACCTAAATAAAAGGAGCACCTTCAGTGTAGAGTTGATATGTATAACCTTTGTCAATGATCTACTTGCAAGATACTTCTAGGAATTAACTTAAATGAGCAGTTGTATTTTAACAAGAAATTTGAACATATATGGTCACCTAAAGCTAGTTACTCCTTCAAATTTGATTCAAGGCTCTTAGTGAACTAACTCCCATGCTGTTTGGTAAAAATATTGGAGAGAGATAGGTAGGCTCCTTAGATAAGAGAACTTGAAGTTTTCGGGATGCAAACTGCCATGCTAACACATCTTTAATCAGTAATAATAAAGGAAATATCATTGACAGATTTTTCTACACACTATGCAAAGGGAGGAGGGGGAGGGGGCGTCTGACATAAAAGGATGAAACCAGAAATGATAGCAATAGGTAATATTTAAATACTGTTGGTTGCTATCAATTTCTTCAAAAGACTAGAAGTTATAATGGGTCATATTAGTTTGGATTGTAGTGATGCAATGCAATTAGTTACTTTCAACCCTACTCCCAATTAGTGATCTTGAAATGCAATAGTTACTTTTGATTTCAATTAGGAAATCCAGGATAGTTGATTATCTCTACATCATAATGCCATTTTGGGTATTATATGATGTTGATTCCTGGTCAAGTGTGATTCTTTTTCTAGAGCAAGGCCCCTATCCTAGGTCTTATAGCACATTTATGCACAAATCCAACATGCATTATTCACGCAGAACAATGCTGGACACAACATTCAATGTCATAACATGTGTAACCCAAAAATTCACATGATTACAAAAATTCAAGACATCCCATTTAGGATTGCAGTAAAGGGAACTATTAGATAATGCTGGAAAATTCAATATCAGCTGTCTAAAATCATCTGATTACATTAATCTTGACTCATATACAAGCCATTCTATTTTGATATGTACGAAACCTTTTATAAAGATAATATGGATTTGAGTCTACCCACAACACCATGAACATCTAAAACTATAGCACCCTACATCACCCAATGTCATGGTCTTGGAGAGGAGCCATGATCTCACATTGGCTGTGAACTAGAGTTGGTATTAGGATATAAGTGTTCATATCACCTTCAACTTATGAGGGGCGACAAAACCGTGAGGTCCAATGTGCCAAAGCGGATATCCTAGTGAGGTCCAAGTTGGTGTGGACCGTGACATTTGGTATCGAAGCTAGCTTTGGGATACTAGTGATGTACCATCTAGGACAGTGGGCCCTTTTAGAGTGGGGAGGATGTCATGGTTCTAGAGAAGAGCCATGAATCCCACATTGGCTATATACTAGAGTTGGTCTTGAAATATAAATGTTTACGCTATCTTCAATTTGTGAGGTGCCTTTTGTGGGACAAAATCATGAGACCCAATGGGCCAAAATGGATAATACCTCACAAGTTGATGTAGACCGTGAAACTCAACTTGCTAGTCTAAAAGCAACATCTAAAATGCATGTGGAAGCATTATAGCTGTTAATTTTGTTTATACACAATACAGAACATATGTCAATGAGTGTGTGCACCATATACCATCACTGACAGTAACAGGAAACTGATCATTATGCTTACCCCTAGACTTCACCATTCAGCTTCAGTTTGTCAACCATTTTCTATTTTATGTATTTTATCTAGAACATCCTAATTAATCAGCAAAGACTACCGTCAAGATGTCAATAGAAAAAATCAACAAGGCCATTTAACATGGAATACAGATTGATCCTGCAGTGTACATCCCAATTAAACCTAACTTGTCAACCAACTAATATTCAGATTCCATATTATTCATAATGGTGTATGACATGATGTAAGTTAGAGAAAGTTTATAATACTAGTTCTCAAACTTTAGTTTCAATTTAAAAATGCAGAAAGCATGTAACGTGAAATTTACCTGCCTTCATTAATGACAAATGCTAATACGATATTGTACAAAGCTTCAACAATTGTGCGCATAGTGTACATAAGAAGATCAGATTCAGCCAGAAACTGATAAATCCGTGATCAGTGTAAGAACACGAAAGAAGAAACAAGAATTTCAATTAAAAAGAATCATCCACTGACAAATTTCTATAATGGCAACTGTCACGTGCATACCTCTAGAAAGCTGTCAAAGCAGTAGACTTCTCTGTGGTAGTTTTCACCGTACATTTCTAGGTCCATTGTAGAAAAGTCTAGAAAGGATGATTTTTTTTTTTTTGATCAAACAGAAGGGATGATAATAAAGCTAGCTTACAACTGAGTCGGTTTCTGAGAGCTTTCTATAGATTCTTTCAGAATTTTTTCCGCTTTTCTTTTCTTGTCATCCTTCTCATTATCATTTCTAAACCATGAGGCTATCTTCTCAAGATCCTCGTTCTGTGAATTGAAATATGGTGCCGTGCCAAAAGACTTCTTTCCAATTCCAATCTTAAAATGCACGCTCTGGTTGTAAACAACTTTTTTCTGTCCATTGTCCAGATCACATAACCCACTCGTCATTCCTTCAATAGCAGGAGCAAATGTCTCCAGCACCGAAACACGGTTTCCCATATCACAATTTTCTGGAACAGGATTTCTCAAAGCCACTTCATTCGAAAGCTTCGCTGGAAGAACAACGGGTGAAACTTCCACTTCCTTTTCCCCAAAATGCAGAGGTGCAGCAAGATAAGGATTGCTCTCAGATGCTACCCTAGCTCTACCAGCATATCCACCATAATTTGAAGAACCTCCTTCATTCCCATTTCGAGCAAACCGCTGCTGCAAATTCAACAATGACCGCTCCATCTTCCTTTCAACCCTCGCTAACTCAGTCTTCTCTCCACTGGAAATACTGTTTGTTTCATTCCCTACACTCAACCGAGCAGCATAAGTATCAGGGTCAGGAAAGGCCGGCAACCAACTAGGTATATGCTCCCCAGGAGGCTGTTCTCCTTTTCCCCATAAACTTTCCATTTCCTTCCACTCTTTAACAAGAGGGAATCGTGGAACATCATATGCAAATGGGATATCATCCGCATCACCAATAAAATGAATAATATCCCTAGCAATCACTGAATTAGCAACACAGCGATCAAAATCAGATCCACCGGCAAAGCCTAAACCCGATCCTAACTCTTCCAACCCTTGAATAACATCAAACACATTCGCTTCCGCTCTCCCCGCCAAATTAGCATTAAAATTCGCAGTTTTTCCTACGCTGTAAATGTACCGTACAATTATATCAGATAATGTTTCTAAAGCAGAGTGTTGGGAACCCTGAAACCCTACGCTTTCGCAAACTTGCGCTATTGCAACCTTCGCGATGGCTAGGGCAAAATCGTCACTTTTGCTACGGAATTTGGAAGGCTTTGATTGTTTTTGTGATTTTTCCTGTTCTTTTCTATTATGCAAACCTCCATCGTTCATGTTCGATAATTCTTCATATCAATTTCGTATTCACATATCTAAAGAAACAGAACAAAATTATTAAAAATTAGAAAAATAAATACCAAAAAATATTAAAGAAGAAGATAAATGAAGGCGGGAAGCTTACCTTTCCTTTAATTACGGTTGATGCATGGAAGCGGGCATTTGGGGTAGAAAGAGGGGATTTCGGGAAATCAGGGTTTTAGATCGTGGAAATTTCAAATCTTAGGGTTTTAACAATTGGAGATTTTAGATTTGATTAAAACTGTCATTAAATCTTTAGATGGAGATGGAAACATTGGCCGTTAGTTTTATAGACGGAAAGCGGAGATTGTTTAAGACGGAAACCTTTATTTGATATTGTAAATTGAATGACTTTTTTTTTGTGATTTTTCATTTTTATTTTCTCTTCGAATTACACGAAAGAAAGATTATAATTCTATTAAAAACCTTAATTAAAAAGTTATTTTCTTAATTTTAGATATGATATTGTGCAGGGTCGAAAAAGATTTTTATTTATTTTAAATTTGATTCAATTTTATAAATTTAATATTCGAATCTGATATGATATTTAAATATTATTTTTATATCCAAATTAATCTGACTCACATATGTTTAAATTGTAATCGATTCGGTTCGATTTAAAATTAATAAGTATTAATTGTTAATATAAAATATTATTTAATATTATTTTTAATATAAAATATTATTTTTAAAATTTAAATATAAAATTAAATAAATATAAAATATATATAAATATAAAATTAAATAAATAATAATAATAAAATATATACCTCGTTGGGTTGAAACAAGATTGCATAAAACTAAACCCCACTCATTTTTTCAAGAATACATGACTTGATCTAACCTAAAACTTTTATTTAAAAAAAAAATTTATAGGATTGGGTATGATCAAAACCCAATGGGTACAAGTAGGATTGCCAACCTTAATAATTTTACTAATCCAACGAAAAAATAAAAGAACAAAAATTAAAAATGAATGTTATAAAATTTTTATATGAAAAAATTAAATATAAAAATGATCCTTTAAAAAATATATTTTTTATCTGTTTAGTATTTAAAAAAATAAAATTATCAATTTGATATTTCAAATTTCACTTCATCAACCATTTTGATACCTAAGACTAACATTGTCAATCAACTTGTTAATGTGACAAGAATATCGAATAAGATACTAACATATATTAAAAAAATTCAGTCAATGGTATATTATTAATTACCACGTTTGTATTAAAAGAAAATTTCTAAAAAATTTTAAAAAATAAAAATTTTAAAAATATGAATATTTTAAAAAATTAAAAAATTGTGATATTTAAAAAAATAAAAAATATGAAAACTAAAAAAATCTCAAAATTTTAATAAAAAATCTCAAAAAATACAAAAACATTATGAAAAATTCAAAAGAAAGAAAATTTTATTAAAAATAAAATTTTTTTAAATTAAAAAAATTGAAAAAACTAAAAAAAAATTAAAATAAAAAATCTACAATTTTTGAAAATGTCTAAAAATTTAAAAAACAAATGTAAACAATTTTTAAAAATTGTGGAAATTTTTCTTTTTTTTTTAATCTTACAATTTTAATTTTTTATATATTTTATGAATTTTTTATATTTTTTTGGATTTTTTAATAAAATTTTAATTTTTTAATTTTTAATAATTTTGTTTAGAATATTTCAAAATTTGGAAATTTTTAAATTTTTTTAAATTTTTAAGAAATTTTTTAAAGAAACATTTAAATTAAAAAAATTTTAGATTTTTTATTTTCAAAATTTTAAAGTTTTTTTTGTGAATTTTAAGAACTTTTGGAAATTTTTATTAAAATTTTGAGATTTTTTGAATTTTTTTAAGTTTTCATTTTTTAAAATTTTTATAAAATTTTAAAACATTTTAGATTTTGAATTTTTTTATAAAATTTTTAGAATGTTTTAAAAAATATTTGAAAAATTTTTTTATTTAATGCTGAAAGCTGAAATGGCAATTGATAACATAGCACTTATTGAATATTTTTTTCTAAGTGCATAACACTTATTGAACTTTTTTTTTTAAGTGTTTATATCTTATTAGATGTTCATACTACGTTAACAAATAAACTAATGGTATTAGCCCAACATACCAAGGTGATGATGACATAAAAGTTCAAGTATCAAATTGATTAATTTTATTTTTTTAAGTACTAAACGGACAAAAAATATTTAGTCATAAGCTATTTTTATATTTAGTTCATTTAAAAAATATAAAAATCAATTTTTTTTTCTTTTTCGATCGCAATGATCTAGCTTATTAGAGATTTGTGGATAAAAATGACTTTGATGAAGAAGTGATAATTAGCTCACGCTCTTTCTCTCTTTATTAATCATGCAACGAGTATCAAAATCTTTTTTCTTTTTTGAAAGATTGAAGCCATGAAAGGAAACTTTGGGGGTCGATGTTATGGAATAAACTGATTTAAAGTTTAAATACGTAGTTTGTAAATATACTACATTATTTTTCTCTTGTTTAAACCATATTCTTGGGAATGAAATTTAAAATCAAATAATCCAATATTTATTTCACTAGCTAGCTTTATCTCCTTCCTAGACATGAGCTAGTAAGGATGCACATGTGATAATATTCACAATGATGAACTTTAAATCATTAAAAGAAATTGGGGGTATTCTTAATGCAATATTTGGATAAATATTAATAAAGGAAAAGGAAAAAAAAAAAGGAAAGTAAAAGAAAGTTTTTTAAAAGAAAAAAATGATATATATACTCTTTGTTTGGATAATTAAAATTAATAAAAAAAATTTCTAACAATAATTGTTTGGATAAAAGAGTGAAAAAAAAGAAATGATTTATTATAATAATTTGTTTTCGATTATAACTTTTTGTTACTTGTGATTTTAAAGTACTTTTAGACTATGATATATTTGTTATTTTGTCTGACTTTACAATTACTACTATATTAATAGTTTTTATATTGAAAGAGACATGTGAAATTTACTTGAAAAAAATATGACTTTGAAAAAATTATAGAAAGATCGTGATGTGATTAGGTTTTTTTAACTAGATTTTTAGTATTAATAAAAATATGCATATAATAATCTTTTTATAAAAAATTTTTTTTGCAACTTTTCTTTCCTTAGCTTTTTCCCTAAATTGAAATATTAAAAAAGTGATGATTATAAAAAAAATCAAAAGTTATTGAGTTTCTACTTCTTTTTTTTTCCTTTAAATTAAAAGTTTAATCAAATAAAAGAAAGTTTTGTTTCTATTTTCATTACTTTTCTTTATTTTTCTTTATTTTCCTTCCCTTTCCCTCAATCCAAACATAGTATAAGACACTAATTATGTTTATACGAGGTGATGAAAGTTTATAAAACTCATCATTGTAGAGCATTTACTTAAAAAAAAAAAAAAACAGATGTGATTGCAAAGATTCTTATGTCCAAGCAGAAAAATGGATGGAATTAGTGAAGAATTTTATTTTAGGGTTTTGATTAAAACTTGAAATTTTAACTTAGAGGTCTCGGACTAGATATACATTGGATTTACCAATAAAGGAGCGTCCTTCCCTTTTGTAGTCCAAAATCACTTGTATATATAAGTATAAATATAAATATTATTGTATTTATATATATAAAGCACTTTTTACTATAACTTCCATTTAATTTTAAAATATCTCAAATTTTCTTTTTATTTTTATTATAAAATTTGAATTCAAATATCAGTACTTAAATTAAAGAATTGCACAACATGAACATAATTCAAAAGTATATATATCATTTTATATACAATAACCGATCTTTCAAGTTTGTGATCAACTTATTAATTAAAGCTATTTATTTCTTTCCTAGATTTATTGATAATTTTTTTAGATATTTCTTTTTGATCCTTTTTTTAAGCCAATTTTTTGGTTTAATTGTTTAGATATTGATTATATTTTATGCATGAAAAAAGAATTAAACCTGTCATAAAACATTCTATTCTTTCTTTCACTCATAAACTTTATTTCAGTCCAAAGCCAGCAATTAGCTAAATTTATTTTATATCATAAATTATCTAAAAACTGTAAAACTGATTTTTTTTTCTTTCATTAAGAAAAAAGCTCAAAGTTGTATATAATAATGTTAAGAAACAAATTAGTATGATCAGATCATTTTTTTAATAAAAATTGTGACTAGGAGTAAAAGGCCTTAATTAGAAGACTTCCCTTGATTGTCAGGCTTTTTATTGAAGATTTTTATATGTCAAACATATCTAAATGGAAAATATTAGAGGAAAAAATGATGATATGGATATATAAAATGATAACAATCACGTGGTTTGTTGATAGAGTATATGAGCACTTATACTTGAGCGTGGATAAAAACTTTTTAAAGAGAAGTCCTGCAAAGGATTATCCCAAAAGACAAAATCACTGCTTAGTAATTAACAATGAAGGAGATTATATTCCAAGATACTACATGCATGATAACAGTCTCAAATATTCAGATTTGAACTGCAAAAATAATGTCTCAATTCTGCTATAACACCTATAACACATGCATTAATTGTTCTTTTAACTCTTAATTCATCGGAAATACTAACACTTTATAGCAATTTTCTCAAGAACCAATCAAACCAATATATATATTTCTGTTTAAAAACTATCCACATTCCAAATGCTTACCATGGCCTTAATTACATTACCATATAGCAAAGCAATATTAATCTATATAGGTAAATTAAGTTTTCTTCAGGCATATAGCTTGGTGCTGCCTTTCCTAGGATTAAACCTGCACAAAACCCTAAACAGCAGTAGTACTGGCATGGCCAAGCTGATCATCTTCCATTCTAACAGTTTTGTGTTTGTATAAAGCAATCAAACAGCTTTTGCTTTGACTTAAATTGGATGTGGGGCAGCTGGTTGTGGTAGATAGCAATCAAACAGCCCCTAAACAGGCTTGTGGGGCTGTTTTTTTTTTTTCTCTTCCAAAGACGAAGGACCAAAGATAATAAATTAACTTCTGAGAACACTTAACATCTAACTTATCTTCTTTCTCTCCATTAATGTATTTTCTCATATATCTGTGTTAAGGACCACAAACTATCTTTTCATTTCATGGAATTTTCAAATAAGGGTCCCTCTAACCCTATTTTTTCAACCTGCTATTTCTTTCATCATAACATTTTCCTGTTGGATCTTGTGCAAAGATGCAGTACTACTGCCTCTAATATCCTTCATCTACTTTGCTTTGTAATATATATAATCCTTTTCTGCCGCATAATTGTCAAGCGGAAAGAGTATGTTCTTCACCTAACTACTTAGTTTTCATATATCCTTCCATTGGTTTTTTGCTTGGAGAAAAGAGTAAGGAGAAGGTAAAGAGAGCAGTTGGCTATATAGGAAACTTAACAAATTGCCATTGAATTTAAGCTGAATATCTCTATCACTCTCTCTGATCTCTATTAGACAGATTGTTATGTATGTCACATGTTGTGCTCATAACCAAATTTCAAAATCAATGCAAAATAATTAATTTATAGCATTTCATATGTATTGCTCTATGATCACTCAGCTGAAAATTTTTTTAAGAAGTATGAACACTTTCCGGTGTTTTGATATCTCACTAGTATCTAACTATATATTCATACAGCATCAAAACTATATAGTTCAATTATTTTAGCAGCGTGGCATTCAAATCTATGAAGATCTGATCTTCCAATCACCCAATCAAACAAACTTATGAAATCAAACACAAAAACTTAATTGTTATCCCCGTAACTAATTGCCTGCTTCTCACTTCCAGGAAGTAGAATGCCTTAAAATTACGTAAATAGGTTCAAATTATACAGTACCTTTTTTCCATCTCCTCGGGCAAGTCATGCTTATTCCAAAGGAATTCCTCATTATAATATTGCTTTCTTTTCATTTAGAAGGAAACCCCCGTTCCTTATCTGCCTGACTTCCAGTACTGTTGTTATGAGAATAGGGAAGCCTAGGAGTCATACTCAAATAGGGTCTGATAGATTGGCTTATTGAGTATGGTGGAGGGTAAAGAGAATTAGGAAAGAGGTTTTGTGCACCTGAGCTCAGCATCTGAAGATGATTAGCTTCTTGTCTAGGATCAATCTCTAGAGAAGGTGTAGCATGAGGAGGGAACAAAGGCTGTGTTGCTCCTGGTGGACATATCAATATTTGAGAACCAGATGATAGAGATAATGTGGATGGCACCGGCACTATATTGAAATTATGTGGTTCTTCTGTGTGGGATGCAAATCCATGGCTTCCTAAATGTGATAAAGGAAAATTCGAAGGTTCAAAATGATAGTAAGAACCATATGGCACTGCATTGTTTAACAATGCTGGCAAGGGAGAATGATTGGTTTTTTGTAAGATATTATCAGATGAAACTTCTGCCCCATTGTGATTTTCACTGCCTTCTTGTTTTTCCTCTTCATTTCTTTTATTCCAGTTGTTTTTCTCATTGGTTGGTTCCCTTGCAACGTCTTTGGATTTAGCCCTCCAAAAAGCATCAGAGCTCCAAAAGCTTGATCTTGATAACCCTCCTGCAGGATCTTCCCAATTAACGCTACTACTGGTTTTAAGCCCTTCTTTGTTGGATTGGGAAACACCAACTTCTTGAGAATTACTTATAACCATTTGACGGTTAAGGGCAAAGTTCTCTGGTGGCACTGGGAGTGGAGGGAGTTCATCAATTTCATGTTTAGCTGCATTAAGCAGCCAATCAACAGCCTTGCTAGGCTGATTAAGTCCAAGCCTGTCTTGAAGATCATACAACTGAATAGCAGTAGGAACCGAAAGCCTTACCCTTCTGTCTCTCAATCCTTTTAGGGTGCAAACTTTACTATGCCTGTCTTTTCCCCCAAAGGCACGCGAAACACGTACAATTCGCGGATCCTTCAATCTCAACGATGGTGAAGAAGTAGATGGACCTTTACTGACCTTGATATCATTTGTGTTACCTTCTTGTACTCTAGTGGGAGAATCTTCTTCCTTTGAACTTGCAATCATCTTATGTCTCTCATTATTGAAGCATAAGCAGCTGAATACTAGTTGAATTAATGCTTTAATTCAGCTGCAGATCACCTGAATCTTCTTTTATATTTCTCAGTCAGAACTCGCTTGCAAAATGCTTCTCCTAATTCCTGACAACTATCTGCTTTAAAATTACATTAAAAGAAAGAACAACAAAGACAGAAAGTTGATCAATTAATGGAAAGTAATAAACCTCCCACTAAAATATATATTCCAAAGGTTAAAAGAAAAAAAATGATGAAAAAAGTATTGAACTAACCACGTATGCACAAAGAGGAGAGACTTGAGAAGAAGAATTAGACTTCAGTACTCAGTGGCTGGTAATTCTGAAAGGTTATTTTTTAGATCAGTTCATATATGTTTAACTCTAAAATTCATATATTCTGCTCAAACTTGTTTGCTTTACTAGAGAAGAGAGAGCAACAAAAGAAGAAACTAAGAGGATGTGAGGCAGATCTATAGGGATAGTATCATAGTACCACTTAAAAGAGATCTGGTTTTATACAGAAGAAGAAAGACCAGATTCTTTGAAAAGTGAAATGGTAAAAGTTAAAAAAAATTAGGTATTCCAAAGAAAATTTGCAAATCAAGTGCACTTACAAAAATATCAAACATTTGATTATGCAGGGTGATAAATGCAACTTGAAAACTTTGGTGCTGGATTCAACCAACCTGCATGTATATTGAGAGATCAAATTTTTTGCTTTTACTTGTGATGTAAGAGAATAAACTTATTGATGAAGTTCACCCATTTGAGAAAAGAAAGATGCCGGAATTCAACCGACCATTGTCCATGGAAGAATGGAAGAAAAAAAATAGCACTGGCACTAGGGCTGCCACGTGGCGCATTTTGCCATCTGTCAAGTAAATGTGCTAGTCTGTATCTTATCATTTCCTTCCCTTGAAGCATATTAAGCAATCATTGCATCAATGAGCTGGTTAGGGGCTTAATAATAATAATAATAATTTCTCCTCAGCTAAGAACAACAATATGGCAAGTATATTCATCAAGTTGTGAACAAGAAGAAAAACACATGGATTTTGAGACTAACAAAAACAAAGTGTATGATTTAATTTTATGGGGGACCATTCTGCACATTTGAAAAAGTGACGAGGCATGCTTTATCGACAACTACAAAAGGCCTTGTGACTGAATCACTATCACATGGGGTTGATGAATGCACGCCTAGTACTGAGGAAGATGTTCATGTGAGCAAAAAATTGGATGCAGGCTCTAATTAAAATCCATTTTTCTATACGCAACTTTTGTTGAATTTTATTGCTTTGTTCCCACTTCCCATCCTTGCAATTCAGGGTAAAATGTGTCAATAGTACAAGCGAATGAACTGATTTTGTTAGGCTATTAATGACAATTGGCCATGCTTGACAAAAATCTAATGTCGTCGCATCGCTATCACATAGTTAATGATCAAGATATAAGTAAAACTGATATCTGAGATATCTTGAAATCAAATAGGAAATATTGAAATGGGGGGTACTTGATTAACACTCAATGTTATGAGAGAAAATTAAAAAACAAAAATGAAATCTACCAAGATAAGTCCTTTGATTGGTGCTTGATAAAATTTGTGGTGTATAGTCTTAAGGGGAATTGTCAATTTGATGGTATTTGATGGTTACTTGAGATATTAACAACTACCTCACAGGGTTGGGACCAATCGACATATGCATCTCCTTTAAAACATCCCACTAGAGTTGAAAAGAGGACCACAACTTTTCTGCAGAAAGAAATATACGCATGGAGGGTAAGTTAAGGGGTTGAACCTAACAGTTGAGAAAAAAAAAAAAAACTCAATGGAATTTCAATTCTTCAGTACTTACATTATCACAATTCATTGGACCAGTTTAAAGGAAAGTACCGTAGGCAAGTTTGTTTGCTCATCTTGGAAAAAAGAAAAAAAAATCAAAAAAAGAAAGAAAACAGCCTTTCACTCATTCAAATGTTTAGGTCTTAGAAGCCATATGTGGGTGGAGAAGGTGGATCCCAGTTTGAAATATATAAACCTAGCATTTTCTTTACAGGTACTGGTCTTTGCTGTAGGATTCCGCATTAGCTAGTTTTTCTATACGCAAAAGTTTCTTCTATATTTGGTGTGGTATTGATATGAATAAAGAATAATGTATACAAGAAAAAATAGAAACCCTAGGGTCTAGGGCTACATCAAGAATGAATTTCAAAACAAAATTTCAATCTTTGGATGGTGATTTTGTTTCTAATTCCTTAGAAAAGTGAAGAAAATTTGGAGTTTTTTTTTCCTTACAATTAATCTTGCCTTGAATTTCGCTTTCTTGAATAGACAAAAACTTTCCTTTGAAAAAGCATACATTGCAGTGCAAATTGCTTCTCATATCAAATGATTGAAAAGAAATGAGAAGATAAAAATGAGTAGTAAATCCTTGTTCTTCTTCTTCTTGTAGTTCTACTGAAAAAAAAAGAAAAGGGAGATCATATATACCAACATGCAGGAAAGTTTTACCTTACAATGCTATCCTCTTCCAATCTGGTCTTTCTTTTTCTAAAAGGGAGTTATATGTGAATAAATGCAGCACTCATGACTCAACTGTCAGATTGATCAGTAAATAAATGTAATATTATTACATATACATATATACAAACAAAGAAAGAAATGAAAATGGAAAAGACAGAAATCAAGAACCCTGTTTTTTACTCAAAAAGTTTTAAAGTCAACTAATTGTTAATTGTGATAACATGAGTTATGACGTACCTTTTTCAAGCAAACAAAAACAAACTGGATAACTACTGGATTGTGAGAATATGGGAAACAGTTTTGCCTTTTTGATTCATTTTTCTTTTCAATTACACCTTTTTTTTTTTTTTCTCTCTTTTGAAAGTGGAAAAATGCATGAAAGGAAGAGAAATTAAGCTCTCAAACCGCAAATACATGATGTTTCTGAAGTAAACAACAATAAGCAGGAAAGAGCCACCATGAAAAATTAATGTTTATATCTATGTACATATCAGAACTGAGTACTTTTTTTAAAGTTCTTTTTCTTTCATTTTTTGTCCTTAATTTGCAGAGAAGAAAGGGATGGGGGGGAAACTTTTTAGGGTTTTGGTATTTCTTTCTCAAAACACTCATTTTTTTTTTTAAAGTTCTAAACAAGCAGTGGTGGGTATCTCAAGATGGACAGATCAGGGAAAATTTTCACAGACTGTTCTGATTGACTACACAAAGCAAAGGTACAATAATTGCCAAATAAAATGGTCCCCAAAATCCAGCCAATAAATCCTTGTGCACCCTACGATTAATTTATAACAATAAATCCAACTTTGTCTATATGTCCCACAGAAATGGTTAGAGAACTTAACATAAGTATATAATGCAATATTAATAGTTTAAATATCCACAACTAATTTCTGTCAAAAAAATAGAGAGCTAATTAAGTTTAAAATTTAAGATATAAATTATATATTTAAAAGATAATTTAAAAAAACACTAATGATTTTGATTCATAGCAAAAAAATAAAAGAACTGAATCCTAACTTAATACTTCATATAATACAAATCATACCTGTCCACCAGTTATTTAAAAGGTCAATGACCCTGCACGACCTATAATGAATTAAAAATGATTTTGCTAGCCATTTTTATAGCAACTAGCAATTTATAACAACCGTCATCTATTTTATAAAAAAAATGAATAAATAAATAAACATATAAAGTCTTGTATTCCATATTTATTTAACATGCAGTGTAAAATGCCCTTAACATAATATATATGATAATAATATACATAACATAATAATTTTTTTTATCAATTGAAAATAAATATTTTTTTACAAACATTTATTTCATTCCAAATAATTAAAATATTATTAACATAATACATAAGTTAATAATTTTTATTATTCTATCTTTATTAAATAAAATCAAATTAATTGTAGAAAACTCAATTAAAAAATAAACTAAAATAGCTGAATTAATTTATATTTTATAAAATGATATTTTTTCATGTGTGATGCTAGGTGTCAAATATTGATGTTTTAATGCGTCTGTGCTTGTTAGATTGAGTATTGTTTACAGTACAATTTTTAGGATATTGAAGGTATAATGGACACTAAGTACTAATTATTAATCGTAAAAATATAATATAATGACTTATTAACCTCAAGCATAAAAATTCTTCCACAATTAATTTTGAAGTCAAAATTAAAGTCTTATCTAATTTGGTTAAAAATTGAGCTTGAATGTTAAGTTGGGATAACTTTTATATATTATGTCATTGATATTGTTTGATTGTTATAAATATTAGTAACAATTTTTTTGATCTTTAAAAAAAATAACATGTGCTGTGTTATCATTTTCACAGTGACATAATGAAACTCTTTGTTATTACAATATAAAAGCCTACATGCATATTTTTTCACAAAAAAAAAAAAAAAAAAGCTTAATTACATGCATAAAGATATGTAACACTTGAAATAAGCTGATAATTTTTTTTTTTTTTTAAATTTCAAAGCATTTTTGTTCTTCAGTTCATAGATATATCTTTTTCTTTTATAGAAAAGGGCTTAACAATTAGCTACCTTAATATATTGTGTTTAAAATCTGTGTTATTGAAGCTTGAAAGTCTTTCTGACAATAATTTTCCTTTATTTTAACTATACTTTTATAAATTTTGATTAATTTTAGCAACATCTCAAATAGAAATTAATTAATTTTGCACCATCTTTGTAATTTGACACATTTTTTTTGAAACAATAATTCGACACATATTAAATACTGGCTTATTCTAGGAAGTTATAAGAGAACAGTTTGGCTGTTCTAATTGATCTTCCCAACATATAGAGCTGTTTAGAAATTAGACAAATAAAATAGCAAGAGCTTTTACAAGATGTTGCTTTTAATTAAAAATCTATGTAAAGTTGGATTTTTATAGAAAGAAAGCTGTTGACATATCTTTCTCCAAATAAATATTAGCAGCATATATTATAAGACAAATTCTTGCCTAACTGACATCTGATTGATTTTAATTTTTTTTATATGCCCTAATGGGATATGCATATGTATCATGCATGCATATATATGAGAGAAAGAGATGAGGTAAGAGAGATTCTAACTTAAATTTTTTTATTTTTTTTATTTTAAGAAGAGATGTAGCTAGTTATTTCTTTAATTATACACCTACATCACATATTAAATCAAAAGAGTCAAACAATGCAATGTTCCTAAGGAACTCGAAGGCTCTAAACTGTAAAGGAAACATTTCATAGAAAAGCTCTTCTTTCTTTAGAATGCTACCTAGTAGTATGTGAAAAGGGGGAGCAAAGAGCAAAGCATGAAATTAAAGTGTAGAGTGATGAGAAAGAAGAAGACAGAAAAATAGAGAGGCAGATGCAATGTTGTTTTCTTTCATGGCAGAGAGGATGTTGCAGTTCACTTTCTCTACTACTTTTCGGCATTATTCAATATATATATATATATATATATGCATTTATTTATCTCCTCTCTGATTGCTCTTCTGCTGCTGGTCTTTCATCACCTTTTTTCCCCTCATTTTTGTTTTTCTAGGGGTTCTTTCTATCCTTATTCATGGCTGCTGACTAGAGACATTATTACCTTACTGAATATCAACAGAAAACAAAGCAGCAATCCCTAAAACACAACAAAAACAACTAATCATAAAACACACAGCTCCCACAAAAAAAAAAAAAAAAACCCAAAAATATTAACCACATCCCAATCCCATCACCCCCTAAAAAATTAAGAACCTCATCAGATCTCTTAAGTCTTAACTGGCATAAAAATTAAGAAGGGTCACCTTTTCTTTTGTTTTCTTCTTTTTTTTTTTTTTTTTTTCTCTTTCTGCCATAAATTTGTGATAATGATGGTAGACATTGCTGAAAGATAAATAGGTTTGGTGATGGTGATAGTATGCAGCCAGTGAGACAGATAAATTTTATTTTATTTTTAATATTTTGAAAAACAGTCTATTGGAGTAGTACTACTACTAGTATGTACTAAATGACCAAACCTATCCAA